GAGTTGCCCTCGGACTTGGACTGCTTGTACTTGGCCTGACGACAGTTAGCTCCGGCCCAAAACCATGCAAGGTGTCCAAAACCATACCTTCCACTCGTCGACCTCGTAGCGAAAGCCATCAACCTTTTCTTGCAGTTGCCGTTCCCGCTTCTCCGAAGCCTCGATGTCCTTTTCCAACTCCGCCTCCAGCTCCCGGCTGGAGGTTTGGAAATCGGCCAGTTCTGACTCTAGCTGCTCATATTGAGCCTTGTAATGTGCGAGCTCATCTCTGTAGAAGCTGCTGCTGTGTTTGTTTTCGGGGGGCGAGTCGTCGGCGGCCGGCATCTTCCCGCGTTAGGCACCGGGCGGGCCGCAACGAAGATGATCGGACAACAGAAGAAATAAAGATGAAAACAAGATCAAGCAGAAGTGGTAGACAAGTTGCCGTATGCTTAGGACAGCCTGTCACCGGGGGCGCATGTGGTTGCGTGGGTGGCCGAGTCAACAACCGTGCGTTGTTGATAAGAGCCCCTCGCCGGGGGGCGGTGACGCAGGTGGGCGAGATTGCGACCGTGGACTTTGTACCGAGAGAGAGAGAAAAGCCAGAGCAAACACAGGCGACGTGGATACCGAGCGTCGTCTCCCAGCTGCTGAGGAGGGGGGGGAGGGCAACTTACCTTGGGGGATAAATAGTGGTGAAGGGGAAGTGTTGTGTGTCGCAAAGCAGATTGATGATTAGATCGGCCGGGCTTGTTTTGGCGGTCGTCAGGGGGGCCGAGTGCGCTAGCCCGATTGGGGGCTCGTACAGGTGGTACCTCCGTCAGTATAGACCAGTCTCTTTATTGAATAGATTCGATCTCTCTCTTTTGGAAATTGTACCCAATCTGCATTTTGCTTAATTTAATCCCAAACTGTACACCCAGCAAAATACATTGACGCCAGGCCTCTGTCCTTCGAGACTGAGAGAGGGCACAGCTCGGTCCAGGCACGCACTTCCCCTACGACCACGACCTCCTTTCAGGACCGAGAGTGAGTGATTTGCAGCTTGTGAAAACGATCTCGGGAATTTCGGTTTGACCAAATAATAGTCGATAAGATACCAAAATCTGTTTCATGTACACAGGAGCCTCCCAGTGTTGCATCCAGTGTGTACTTCGCTCGAATTCACGCAGCGACTACGCGATTTGCTAGTTGTTTTCGAACCAAAGATCAGAGGGGGAAAAGAGAACCTTAGCTGAGAGAAAATCGTATGTTATGGGTTGTTAGTTGAATACCGCTTGCCGAGGCCACTGCGCTATTGACAAGGGTTAGATATAGCTTATTTCTTATTTCCGGCTATTCCTTACTATTCTACCAGTGTTTTGGATCATTCTTTTGGGCTCTTACTTTCAACCAATTTTATTCATCCTATATCATGAGTAAAGTTCTTATACTCCTTACTGATGCTCCTATTGACAAAAGCACGCCTTGGGATACATACGGCAGATCACATGATTTCCCTTCTGCCTCAGGCACTCATCTCACCCAGCCGCCCCGATCGCCTTCCTCAGCCGCGCCTGATCGTGATCCATCCATCGGATCTCACCCGTTCCCCCTGTTCTAGAGAGGTGAGTTATCTATTTCTGCCTGGTTCGGGCCTGATTGATCTACCCGACGGAACATACCCATCATCCTAAATTTCCTCTTCCTCCTTTGCTACCCCCACGCACTGCTTCCCTGGGTGATCGTTCCCCGTCCCCATTGCTTCCACGCACTTGTTTACCCTCTCTTTCCCGCAACTACACTACTCTCGAGCTTCCCACTCTCTCCACATTGTCTCAGCCAGAGATCGGCGCCCCCGAGCATGCTGTGACGATCGTGCTCACCACCAGAACAGACACAGTGGTCTTGCCATGGCCGACCCCGCCGATCTAAACCTGGACGCGCCGAGCGACCTTCAGGATATTCCTGAACTAGCTATGCAGCTGCTGCCTCCTCCCGAAGGGACATATCCCGATAAGTCAGTGCTTTGTTTCTGCGGCTAAGTAAACAATATCCCCTAGCTAACCATCTCGTTTCTTCCAGGTCCTCGCTGTTGGCAGCAGTCCAAGAGCACGGCAAAACCCACGGATACAATGTCGTCGTCAAGTCATCGAGCACCCCAACGGAGAAGAAGCCCGGTCGGACAGCCAAGGTGTGGCTCCGCTGCGATCGCGGTGGCCACTACCGTCCTCGGAACGGCCTAACGGAGGAGACGCGCAAACGCAGACGCACCTCGCGACTCATGGACTGCCCCTTCATGCTGGTCGCAGCTGGGTCCCCCGGCATCTGGACATTGACCGTTCTCAACCCAACGCATAACCATGGCCCCGTCATCGAGAAGTCCCGGCAGGTACCGCATCACAAGGTCCGAAAGGGTCAGCTGCCGGCTATCCCATATGACTGGCCACATGACGCGACCTTCACTCCGTATACAACGGCGCTCGTTATCATTGACATGCAGAAAGATTGTACGTATGATATGACCTTGTGCACGTACGATGCTAATGCCTTTCAACAGTCTGCTCCCCGGGCGGATATATGGAGTATCAGGGCTATGATATCTCGGCCGCTCAATCTCTGATTCCCAAATTACAGCAGCTGTTGGTCTCATTTCGATCTGGTGGCTTTCCAGTCTATCATACCCGCGAAGGTCAGTCACATACTGTGATATATTTTTCATCGCTAATCACTCTTGCAGGCCATCGACCCGATCTCTCCACTCTCTCAAGCCGAGAATCGTACCGTTCTCGCAACAATGCCTCGGGCCTTGGTATTGGCTCTCCCGGTCCTCTGGGCCGTCTACTCATTCGCGGTGAAATGGGCCACGATACTGTGGATGAGCTGTATCCTCTGCCCGGGGAACCGGTGATCGATAAACCAGGCCGCGGTGCCTTCGCCCACACGGACTTTGAGCTCCTCCTTCGGAACAAAGGTGTCAAGAACCTGGTTATCGCGGGCGTGACGACAGATGTCTGCGTCTCCACAACCATGCGCGAAGCCAACGACCGTGGCTTTGACTGTGTCGTCGTTGAGGACGGCACTGTTGCCAGCGAGCCCTCGCTGCACGTCGGCACGATCGAGTCGGTGAAGATGGAAGGCGGCATCTTCGGTGCAGTCGCCAAACTGGACGATATCGTGCACGCCGTCGACAGTTTCAAGGCTACCACGATGAAGAAGCTTGCTCCTCAGATGACAGTCTGAGCTTTATTGTGTTCTTGCTTTTTCTTTCTTGTTCAGCGGATTTTAGCGTGTTAGTTCAGGGTGCAGGGAAACAGGGAATTCGGAATGGACAGGCCAGGGCTATGGCGTTTTATTTTCTTTCTGGGCAGGGACTTGAATAGCGTTTTCTTCTTGGCGGACTTAGCGCGCGCAGGGATTTCGGTTGAACTTGATATTCTTATCAGTTGTTATTAAACTCGGGGTCCAAAAACATGGCTATTTCTTACATTTGGATCCACAGGCTTTTTCTTTTCTTAGTTGGGTATTTACGTATGCAGAGTGTATGTGCCAGTGTCTTGTCTCAAAGGGTAGACAGCCACAAGCAATGCCAACAAATAGACAACCCCCCCCTCTAAACGCCACGCTAGAACAGCAAAAAAAGACACAACAAAGAAATGATCATAACCCACCACCCACAGATGAGAATGAACTATAACCACTTCTTCCCCGCAGCAGTAACCCGCCCCCTAAAAACGGGACTCCGAATCTCCATCCCCTGCTTATAGAACGGACTCATGGCAGTCTTCACGTAGCTTTCGTAGACTTCATTCATAAACTGGCGCACGGCCTCCTCCGTCTGCGGAGAGGTCGGGTTGGCTGCGACGGAATTGGACGAGGCGCGCGTGGCAGAGCCGGACGAGTTGAGGAGTGATGATGAGCCACTTGGAGTGGTCGCGGAGGGGAGTTGGGGTGGTTGGTGCAGGAGTAGAAAGCGCGCACCGCTGGGCGTTAGGAAGGCGGATATGTATGCTGCAGCTGGGGGGTAGGTGTCGATGTGTTTTAAGTACCTTTTCGCGAGGGTTAGTTTTAGGTTGAGGGAGGGTGGGTGGTCACGTTGGTGTGGATTATTCAAGAGGATGGGGTGGGAGGTGAGTGTAAATATAGCGGAAAGGGCAGAATGGTAGAACTCACATCCCCCCATTCGTCCATTGAGCTTCCTCTACAATGTCCAGGCTCGAGTGGATGATGAACTGGTTCATGTACTGTGCCGTGTCCGGGAAGCGGAATCGCGCAATGCCATCGCCTCCGCCTTTGGAGGTGCCAAAGGCGATATTGAAGAGGGGTGTGTCGGTGGGGGAGAGGACGGTGAAGTAGTATGACATGTTGGTTGTTAGAGGAGAGAGAAAGTCGTGGGGTGTGGAGGAGGATGGAGGCTGTGGTTGTTTAGTTTAGGAGGGTCACGTGGTGGGTGATCCGATAAGCGTCTATGGACATGTTCGGATTGTTGGCTTCGTGAACTACACACTGATTAGCTTAGGTTTCATAAGCCAGCGCACTTTCAAGGCCAAAAGAAGAATATCGCCTCGACGAGGGGTCGGGATAAATGAAAGCATCATTATCATCGATTTTACTGTTTCTTGGGCGCTGCAGGCCTGTAAGTCAGCAGGTACGCCTGGCTCCAGCGCAGAGAATCATAAGCCGTTTGGTGTAGGTGGCAGGCAACGTGGAGTCCATTCTACGTAGGTGGGCGTCTTCGCCGACGCTTTTCATTCTCGTCCACTGAGAGCGGATTGATCCTATAGTACGGCTTGCTAAGAGATATTGCCGCTAAGACTACCCTCCCTTGCGCTTAGTTCGCTATGTTATGGGCGGCCTAGACAAGCTGACCCCAACGGGAAACCCGAGCACCACTTAAGTCATTAGGCGTCCAGTGCTGAATGCAGTGTTTACATACAACCCCTCCTCCCTCCCCCCAAGATAGAGAGAATTTAGTTTATTCAGACCTGCCTCCCAATTTGCTTGCCCCCTCTGCAGAGAGTTTGCAATAACCATCGGTGAACATGTCATCCACTCTAATTCAAAATTGGGCGCCGGACCCAGCGTATATGGTCACCACTTTTGCTTCGTTGGGAGTCGCATTCCACCTCAGTATCCTGCGGATCGAGATCGACACTCGAATTGGAAGTCTGTTAATAGCCTTTTCTTTTGCCTGGTTTGGATTGGTAGTGACACTTTGTCATGTGTATGACCTCGACTTGATATCAGCCGTCTACAAAGCGTTGCTAGGTGGGTTCTGGTTCAGTGCAGGCCTGGGGACCAGTACTGCCTTATATCGATTGTTTTTCCATCGGCTGCGACCCTTCCCAGGTCCCTGGGGCGCAAAACTCAGCCGCTTTTATACCGTGGGAGTGGTAAAGAAATCGGGGATTAGGTACCACCTGAAGTTGGAGGAGATGCATCGTAAATATGGGGACTTCGTGCGCACGGGTATGGGAAACATCTTCCTTCTCATCTAATAGACTGAAATGACATCTGACTAGGGCCACGTGAACTCTCTGTGATCCGGCCATCTGCTGTGCATGCAATCCACGGCCCGCAATCGCAGTGCCTGAAGTCACCCTGGTACAGCCAGGTCTCTGATGATGAGACAAAAATAAGCTTACTTAGCACACGCAATCCCGAATCGCACCGTCTGCGTCGCAGAGCATGGGATCGTGGGCTGGGCACCAGAGGTGAGAACCTAGTGCTGCTGTTGATCATAGTACAAAGCTGATCATTTCTGGAATCTTCTCAAAGCCCTTTTAAGTTATCAGCCCGACATTCACTCTAAGATAAATGTGCTGATTGAGCAACTTCATGTGCTTGCAAATCAGAGCATCGATATCACCCAGTGGACGATGTACTACAGCTTCGATGTGATGGGAATCATCGCTTTCAGTAAGGACTTCAAGCAGCTAGAAGACGCGGCCGAGCACTCGGCAATCGCCGCCATGCATGCGAATATGGAGATGATTGGACTTCTCGGTGCAGTGCCGTGGCTTATACATCTACTTATTTGCATCCCTGGCCTTAGTGGGCCTATCGAATATTTTGGAGCCTACTGTGAGGACCAAATCCAGCAGAGAAAAGCTGTAAGACCTGAATCTTAGCTGCTGTGAATCACCACTCACAATGAGATAGAAATGGCAGTCTGGCAATGAGGAAACGCCGACGGATCTTGTCTCCTGGCTTTTGAAAGCAAAGGAAGCAAACGATCGTTCTGCTCCGCCGGGAGACCCGGCCCTTGGCGAAGAAGGAAGATTGGTGATCATAGCTGGAAGGTTAGTAGCCTTTACCCTATGTTTGATTCCTAGACAGACAGCTCAATGGTTTCTACAGTGACACTACCGGAACAGCACTGGCGCATGCCTTGTACTTCCTCGCCTGCGATCCCACTGCTTACCGGCGGTTACAACAAGAAGTCGACGAGGCTGCGGCGAAAGGAGAGGAGATATTCAATAATGACACCTCTCCCAGCTTGCCGTATCTTGAGGCAATCATTACTGAGACCCTTCGCCTGAAACCTAACGTACCCAGTGGCCAATCCCGAGTGACTCCACCTGAAGGTCTTGTCATAGACGGAACGTGGATTCCGGGCAATACCATTGTGATTATTCCCCAGTACGTCATTCAGCGGGATGAGCGATGCTTTGCTAGGGCGACTGAATTCCTACCAGAGCGATGGCTGGATGAAGGAAAAGACCTGATAGTGGATAAGCAAGCCTATTTTCCATTTCAGATCGGTGAGTCATTCTAGTTTTCCTTGGTATTGTGTCCTTTCAAAGTCTTGATCTGACAATTGGGATTTTAGGCCCCTACGGGTGCCCAGGGAAGCAACTGGCTCTGCTGCAAATGCGAGGAGTACTACGTCGCATTGCGAGAGACTTCCACATCGCTCTAGCTCCTGGTGAGGACGGTGTGGCATTTGATACGGAAGCGAAGGATGCCTTTACCATGGCTGTCAAACCACTCCAGATGGTCTTCAAGAAGAGGGTAAAGGCGTAGTTATGCTTGTTATTGACTGGTGGAGCGAAACCAGGTCAATGTATGAATCAGAAGATTGAAATGGGAAGCGAACTCTTGTGGACTTGAGCTTTAGAAAAATTGCGAACAACCAGGAGAATGAGAAATTCGTTGAGCTCTATGCAAAATTATATCGAGCGGAATAAGCTAGATCTGTAGGTATTGCTCAAACTTCTTCTTCAACGCTTCCAGAAGAAAGGGTTTCGCCAGGTAATCATTCATCCCCGAATCCAGGCACTTCTCCCGATCACCCTGAATCGCCGAGGCTGTGAGAGCGATAATCAGGATGCGCCTCACGGCGTCCACGGGATCCTGGCGAAGGCGGCGGGTGGCAACATACCCATCCATGACGGGCATCTGAACATCCATCAAGACCATGTGGTACGGCTGCTCTTCACTGGCCTTCTTCTGGATGCCCTCCACGGCTTCCAGGCCGTTGTTATAGGCATCTACCTGGGTGAATCCTAGCTTCTTGAGGTACTGCACCGTGATTCTCTGGTTGATGAGGTTATCCTCCGCAACACAGATGCGGAGGTTGGAGAGGGGGATTTGAGACAGGTCCATGCAATCCGGGGCTGCTGTATTGAGCAGGCTCAGTGCATTGTCAGTGGATTCTGTTGGACTGGCGGTCCCCGAACCACCGGGATTGACCTTCGGCAAGGTTATTGAGAATGAAACAGTTGTGCCGACATCTTCGGTGCTCTTGAGATCGATGGTGCCTCCCATCATATCTATGAGAGACTTGCAAATACTGAGGCCCAATCCACTGCCTCCGAACCGGCGCGCGGTACTTGCATCGGCTTGGGTGAACGGCTTGAACAGGTTCTGTATGTGTCGCTCGGGAATGCCAATACCCGTGTCCGTCACCCAGAAGGTGAGACGAGCTGAGTCCACGGTTTCATCGTCCGCCCTGGATCCTATCGTGATGGACCCCGTTTCGGTGAACTTCAGGCTGTTACCGATTAGGTTGCCTAAAATCTGCTGCAGACGGACGGGGTCGCCATATACGCGGAATTGAGGCAGTCGAATATCTTGGATAATGCGAACATGGTTGGACTGTCGCTTATTCCCGAAATCGGTCGACATCGAGCGAACGACTTCCCGAATCATCTTGTCAACATCGAAGGACACATTATGCAACTGCACCTTGTTCGCTTCGATCTTGGAGAAGTCGAGAATGTCATTGATCACAGTGAGAAGGAGTTTTGCTGACGTGTGAATCGAGTCCGCCATTTGCAATTCCTGCCCCGGCAGTGGACTGCTAAGGAGAAGCTCTGAGTTGCCAATAACCCCATTGAGTGGCGTTCGTAGCTCATGAGAGATATTGGCGAGAAAACTGCTTTTAGCCTTGGCGGCCTCTTCGGCCAGCTGGGCATGATGCAGGGCCTCCGCCTTAGCAATGTTCGCCTCTTGCTCGGCTGCCATCGCTTCTGCCAGGGCTTTCTTCTGCACTTTCACCATAGATTGGTTGATGGTGGATACCCGTTCAACTTCCTTGAGGGTCAGCGCATTGGAATAGCTAATTCCGAGTTGGACGACGAGCAGCTGTAACACAACACGATTGAGATGCGAGAAGCCGTTGGGCGGTCCCTCCAGATACAGCACCGCAAGGGGCTCGGTCTCATCGCCACCGTGAGAAATGGGAAACGCCACGACCGATTTACTGGACGGGTTCTGGGCCAACCACGCTTCGCTGACGTAGCTAAATCGCGGATCCTGCAAGATGTCCGGCAAATACGCTGGTTCGCGAAAGCGCACGCAGTAATTCACAACGCTTTCTGCGACAAGAAAGGAGTGTCCAATCGGTGTTGGAGGGTGATGTACTTTGATGTGTCCAGCTGCGTCGCCACTTGCTGCCACGGCCCACTCGGTGGCCGCGTTCTCTTTGGTGATGATGGCCGCCACAGTGGCAGTGCCATGGCAGCTCTCCATGATAATTTTGCACATTGTCTGGAGCAGCTCGTCAACCCTTAGAACACTAGATATCACCTGTGACCGTTCAAGGATGGAGGTGAGATCTAAAATGTGTAGGCTCCGCTCCGCCACAGACTCTCCCGCACTCGATTTTTCATCATTGCCCGGGTCGGATACTTGAGGGCGAATCCGCATACTACTTTCGTCTGGTTCAGTTTGAGTAGCGGCTTCTCGTGGCACGTGCTTTGGCTTTTGCTCCAAACCATGGACACGCAGAATGTGATCAGCCACCCCGGTGGCCCCTATTCGCTGGTAGAGACTAGCTGCTTCCTTCAGAGCGAGTGTGCCCAGTCGCGAAGAGCCCTCACGCATCAGATGTTCAGCTAACAGATGGTTGGCGAGAGCTTCCTCGAAACCAAATCCATGCGTGGAAGCGTGGTCTAATGCCTCTTGATAGAGAGACAAAGCAGCCCTTTGGTCATGCTCCATCTCGGCGATCTGGGCGCTCAAGATCTTAGTCCATGCCAGATAGTTCACATCTGTGATGGCCTGCCACTGCTCAATCTTGCGCTTGAAATACCTCAACATCCTCGCCAGGTTGGCCATCTCCTCAAGTGTTGCCTCATGATTGACTTGCTGCTGCTTCCGCATCCACACGCATCCGGCTAAAGAAAGGGAATGAAAGAACATCAGGAATCGCGTGTTCCGTGTGGACCAAATGGCGTTCACTTTCTTGAGACAAGAATTCCCCAGCGCAACCGCTCGCTCGTAGTGACCGTACAGGAATAATGGAGCAATTTCCATGCTCTCATAGAGCATCAGCGGCCGGTCGCTATTCTTGATCGTTCTCACTAGCCAATACTTGTATGCGGCCGAATTGTGTTCTTCGTCGCTCATCACCGCTGTTGAGTCATGCGTATATGTTTTCCCTTGCAAAGCACGGCAGAGCTGGCAGATTGTGATGAGGATCGTACCGCCGGGAGTATCCGACTGCCAGCTAGTGATATCCTGACAACTGTAGACGCAAAAGCTCTCCAGCTCGGCCAGGTTTTCGGAGGCGAAAAATTTCATGGTGGCCAGTAGCCCGTAGTTCAAGATGGTCGCGATTCGGTCACCAGCATGGATAGAGAAATCCAAAGCTCCTTCCAAATGAGAGATTGAGGACTGGACATGATGTTGAAGGTGATCGATAAAGGTCGAGTATAACACGATACCACGTCCCCTGGTACGTGGGTCGTTAGATTGTTTAATCAGAGCCAGGGCAAGCTCCGAACAATGACTCGCGAAGGCAATTGCATTGTCCCGAGTGATCGCTATTACAGCCAATTGCAGTAGTCCCATGCCCGCCTGCGGGAAGGGGCCATGAGAGAGATAGGTGTCCACCATGACCAGCGTCATTTGGTAAAAAGTCAGCGTGTCGGACCAGAAAGCCGCGCTAGTGGCCTCAACGAGGACCGCGCCGACGGCAGCCAATATGGGATGTCCAACAGAGGCCTTCTCAATGATATCTTCAGTCGTAGTAGCGGAAATGGCCTCGCATAGCCGACGGAACTCATTGTCACATTTGAAAAAACTCGGATCATCATCAATTGTTATGTCCAGGGTCGTGAGACATTGTTTCAGCGCCTGGAAAGCACCAGTTGAATTACCCAGTTGGGCAAGCATGCGAGACTGCAAGATCCAGGAGGGAGCCTTGTCCACTGGACTCCGAGCATTGGCGAGCATAGATTCCAGCAAGCGACTAGCTTCGGCATGCTGTCCCTGGTACAAGTAGCCTTCAGCAGCAGAGGTAAATATCTGCAGCGTCTCGTCGTAGATCACATCTTCGGCGTCCTCGTTCCACATGTCCTCCTGAAGCAACTGGATGCAACTTGTGTAAGAGTTGATGGCGGTTGAGCGGAAACCGGTCTCACTTGCAGCTTTCGCATAGTCGAATAAAAACTTCCTGAAAGGCCTTCTTCTTGCCACGGAGGCTTTGAATATCGGCGCTGATTCGATAATGGCTGATGCCAGCATGTTGCGATATTTGTCGTCATGGGAGTAATACCGGAACAACACTTGCGCTTTGACAAAGTTCACATGATCTGGGTCTCTTGTGTGGAATGACGCTGCCAGATGCATGTAGTGGTTATATGTAAACGAAAAAATGTCATGATCCTGCGTGGGCACAATAACGTAGGCTTGGATGGTCGCCTGCAGACCTTGAATCATCTCCCGCTCGGACAAGCCAGACCAGGGATCCATCTCATCGCTGTTGAGAAGTCTCTTGACCAGCTGAAACGAGAAAGTCATGCCCAAATGGGATGCCCAGGCCAGAATTGATTTGGAGACAGCTGATAAGCTACTCAGGCGCCTAATTAAAAAGTCATCGACGATGTCGTCGTTGTAGTCGTCCGCCTTTAAATGTTCAGATATACGACTCAGATCAAACGACCACAGCCCTTCCTGGTAGTCATAGCAGATGAATCCATGTTCATAGCAATCGTTCAACATTTCACGGACGTAAAAGGGATTTCCACTAGTCCTGGATTGAATGAGTGCCCCCAGCGGTAAGATAACAGGGACAGGCAAACACAAGGTGCTTGCAACATATTGCATCACGCTGTCTTCACTAAGTGGAGAGAGTTTGACGACAGTAAGACCAACATCTCTTCCTGTCCGAAGTTCTACGTTGGTAAGCATGATGCAACCCAGTAAGACAGCCCGGAATGATACAACGATCAAAACGAACAAAAGACTTGGGGGAAGATACCTTTATTGGTAGAGAGGTTAAGGATCTGTTTAACCATTTCAGAGGAAGCATTTTCGGGTCGATAGGCCAAGATCAACACCAGTCTGATTCTAGCCGAGATGATCTGGGTAATGAGTTCCACCGATTCTTCGTCCGCCAAGTGAACATCGTCCAGGCAAAGACACACTAATTTGTATTGCGTGAAGGCACGCAGGATATCCAGCAACGTCCGCACAAGAGGCAAAGAGTTGGTCGAGGATCCCGTTCGAAGAAATTCCTGGGAACTCTCTGTTCCTGTACTCTCGGGAGGATGCCGGTAGGGTAGTGACTTAGTCGAACGAGCAGCACTTTTAGGCACCTGCTCTGGCAAGTTGGGGCTCGATCCGAGGAGGAATTTGGGAAGGCCTAAAACCTTGTGCAAAGTGTCCCACGCAGACCCAATATGGTTCCGCAGCATTGGCAAGAAACTAGGCTCAATCGAATTTTCTGAAAAGGCCTGCTCGAACAGGCTCGAAAACAGCTGCAGAACGGGACGCTGGTGTTCTTTAATTGCGAGATCAAACCTGGAGCTGGCAAAGAAGCCTCTTCGTCGGGCTTCAATCTGCACAGACGTGATCAGTCGAGTCTTGCCCAAACCAGCCCCTCCCTCAATGCTGATAACCTCGCACCGTCCTTTCGGCGCCATCATGCGATGCCCAGCTGTCTTTCCGGCATCGTCACTGGATCGGGAACTTCCATCGCCACTGCTGCTGCTGATCGATGGAGTCGACAATCGCTTCTCTGCCCCTTTCCCGTCCGAGGCCACGGGACCGACCTCGCTGCCATCGCTCGAGCCGTTTTGCGAGTCTCCAGGGGAACGCACGCGGCTTGTATTGGCTATATACGATTGGGGAATCCTAGCGGAGGTCACGCTCGTGGAACCCGGCAAGTTGGGAAATCCATCGGCCAAGGTACGGGCTTCCTTTTCACACAGATTATCACCTGATGGGGGAGGGACGGCGAACATCGCAAATTGGTCCTCCGGCAGCGACGACAAGCGAGGCCCTTTGCCCTGGTACATTCTGAACATGCGATCCAGGACTTCGACGATGGCATCCCGCTCGGTCGTCCGGCCCACCATCGTGCGCGGGAGCGTGAAGAATGGAGACACATCCTTACTGCCAATCTCCCAGGATTCCGCTTCTTCCGTATCTCCCGCCGCCAGCAACCTCCGCACCTCCACGAGGTCATGTCGCAGACCGCTAACAGAGTTGTACCGCCCCAAGACATTCTTTGCCGTCGCCCTGGCGATAACCCGAGCAATTAATTCCGGCACGTCAGGTCGCAAGGTCGATACCGACGGCAGCTCCTGTCCAAGAGCCTCCCTAATGATGTCCATGGGAGACTTGCTCCCAAATGGGATCTCGTGGACTAACGCGCTCCAAAACAGGACGCCGAGGGAATAGATATCGGCCCGGTTGTCCGGCTGGATCGGCGTCCGCCCGGTCTGTTCGGGGCTCATAAGAGGGTTCGCCAGGACGGGCGAGCTGGCGCTTAGCCGCCCGGTGTCGTAGGCCCGGACGCCCGCCCCGAGATGGATCAGTCTCACGCGGCCAGTCTCTTGATTGAAGTGAAATGCGTCCCCCCGGATCTGCCCATGGACAATCTGCTGGCTATGCAGCATTTCGATGCACTCTGCCGCTCCGATGGCAAAATCTAGAAAGGTGTGCAGCGGCATGAGCTCGCGCCGATCGGATCGATACGAACCCACATCATCGGTCTCGTTATCACTCTCGCCTCCTTCGGGGCGCGTATGATACCAGATCGCGCCGCAATCGATGTAGCGCAGGAGATCGTTGGGACCAGGGCTTTCATAAATGCAGGCCAGGAGCGATGGTTCGTGGTCGTCGTTGAGGCTGGGTAAGCGCTGCATCTCCACGGGCCGCAGGAGATATTTGCGGTGGGAAGCGTCGGCGGATGCCAGCGTCTGATACTCCTCTTGCAGCCTTTCTTCCTGGACCAGATTATCACCAATTCGCGCTACCACTTCAATCGTTCTCTCCGACTCCTTGCCCCGGTTCCCAGCGGTGCTGTCCCCGCCTGGACCATGTGGGACCGATGAACTGCTCAACTCGCCGGGAGAGGAGGCACTTTGGAGGCGAGCGATCTGCTCATAATCCGGACGGACGGCACGGCCAAGGTATTTGGTGCCAAAAACGTGCCTAAGGGAGGCTTCAGCATGGGGCTTTCTTTCCGCCTCGAAACAGGAGTTCGGCCAACGCACCACACGCCATAGCTTGAGCGAAATTGCCTCGAATCGTCCCAGGTATAAGCCGCCAAGCGATTCAGTCTATCCATCAGACCGATGGGAGGCTCTTGCGCCTCTTCGTGCGATACTAGGATTCCCCAAGAAAAAGGCGGTAGGTTTGAGGGTCGGAAGGGAGGATCAGCTGCCGGTCGGCGTCATGGTCGTTGTCGTTTTCCGCTGGTCACGTCGAGATTCCAGGGAGACTCTCCTGGCGTCAGACGTAAAATAAATTGAAGCGTAGTGTAGAGAGGCGAAGTCGAGGCCGTTCGGCCAACTATGGGGCAGGTACGTGCGGTCAGAAACGGAAAGCGGCAGAATTGCCATTAATTTAATATTCCAGCAAAACCGGTTTTTGTTTTCGCTAAAAATCCCCTGTCTTCTGGCACTAACCGATGGGATGGATGGGCCCGGACACCTATTGGATGTCGGCCAGAAAAAGATGGTCATAGATAGATATGATCGATGTAATTACCTAGGAAGTGGATCGCAACGTGATTGATGCTTTTGGCCGGTCTAGCCTTAACCTTGTTTCATATCTACTTCCCATGGCAAGGACGCACGAATACAAGCATTTCGAAAAGGAGAAACTCGGGCGAGAAGGGCATAGAGATATTTGTGCCTTCTGGCTGATGGCTCGTGGCCAAAAGGTTCTTTGGCGGTCCGGACCACTTCCAGACCACTTCCAGACCCATCTCGGAGCTTCTCCTCTCCGTCCACAAATATCTATCTTGGACAATAACCCCCTTTATCATTGATTTCATCCTGCGCCTTGTCATCCTCCCAACTGGCTGCTTTTGCTCGTTCGAGCAGTTGTCACCTCCCCCACAATGTCGGAAGAAACGAGGGTGGGCCCGTACGTCTTGTCAATTCTCTCTTTTCGTCCGTGATTGTATTTCCCTGCCGTTTTCTTGTGCTGCTCTATCTTTCCCTGTCTTCACTTTTCTGGAAGATTTCCTATTTGGATTCCATGTACTCGGATCGGTCACCGAGCTGGCCAACCTCGCTGAATCCTAACTGACCCCTCTTCTAGTCTCCGTCTGGGGTCGATTGCCCCCAACTTTCAAGCCGAAACCACCATCGGCCCCATCGACTTTCACGAGTGGGCGGGCAACGACTGGGTGATTCTCTTCTCCCACCCGGAGGATTACACCCCAGTCTGCACCACCGAGCTGGCCGCGCTGGCCAAGTACGAGCCCGAGTTCACCAAGCGCCACGTCAAGCTCATCGGTCTCTCGGCCAACTCCATCGAGTCCCACGATGGCTGGATCAACGACATCGCCGAGATAGCGGGGTGTCCCTTGGCCTTCCCTGTCATCGGCGATAAGGATCGCCAGATCGCCTATGCCTACGACATGTAAGTGACTTCCTTCCTTTCCTTTCGCGCCTCTCCCTAGGTATCCCAGTCACAGCCTTACGCGTGAGAACAGGCTTGATCACCAAGATACCACGAATGTGGATGCCAGGGGAATCGCCTACACCATCCGCTCTGTTTTCATCATCGACCCCAACAAGGTCATCCGGCTGATCCAAGCCTACCCCGCCTCCACGGGCCGTAACACGGCCGAACTGCTCCGCGTAGTGGACTCGTTACTTGCTACCGACAAGCATTCCATCAATACCCCCGTCAACTGGGAGCCCGGTGAAAATGTGGTCGTCCCTGCCAGTGTGTCTGACGAGGATGCCAAGGCCCGGTTCCCGAACATACAGGTGGTCAAGCCGTACCTGCGGTTTGTCCCGTTGGCCAAGGAGAAATTTGTCCCTAGTTAAAGATTCATGCCAGTATTAGCGTGAGGTGGAGAGGTTCGCACTGCCTGCTAAGAGATATCAGACTTACGTATTCAAATATAACGGGGTGTTCGAAGTTGAGCTCGAACTCATGAAGAACGGCCCATTCTCTATTACAGTATATGTGTGTGTGTGTGAATTCATTTATCCCGACCCCCTCGTATGCAGGCCACCACAACTATATATCTCCTTGTACGTATCCACTTCTTCGACCGGGCTTGGAGCCTCGCCGAGGACTGTCGTGGAAATATATATTTCAACAACTTTGTCTCTCAACATCTAGCCTACACTTTAACTGTCCTTTCAAAAAGCTGGTTTTCATAAAGCAATCTTTTGTATATGAGAATTAACAATTTTGTAGAGATCCCTGGAGAGAATGAAGTCGCATAAAGAAACGTGATCACGTGACCCCTCGCGTTATCGCCAATCGCCCGCCGGAGCTTTTCAACTTCTTCAACGCAATCGCAGTCCCTTGCCGAGGTCGCCACACCACTTGACCCTTAGTGACACTCGCTTTTGGATTGTCTTCAGCTTTGCGTGTAATAATTGGGGCAGGCTCGCCCAGCATGCCACCAAAACTCTCTTACGGATTGAATTTGCCGAAGAAGCTGTCGGGCCCGACCCCGGGCAATGCCCTAGGACAGAAGCGAAAGAAAGCCATATTTGACGATGATTCCGGCGACGAAGACCAGTCGAACGATAATGGAGTCGTGGAAGTGTCCACAATCGGAGGACTCGAGGCGCCAGCTCCAAAACCCAAACCCTCCTCCACCGCCGGGCCGCCACCGAAACGGAAATTGCAATTAGGAAACGGTAGCAAGCCAAGCATCAAACCGCTGAGCAAGAACTCTATATTTGCAAACGATGAGGACGAGGACGAGGCAAAGGACAAAGAACGGCAGGAAGGAGTTACCATGGGACTGAACCAATCCCAGTCGAAGAAGGCGGCCAGTACGGGACAAGACTTTACGAACTTATCTGCAATGCGCAGCAGTCGGAAACATGCCGAGGAGGCTGAGGAGCTGGATCCATCGATTTACTCCTACGATGCGGTGTACGACAGCCTGCACGCCAAACCGAACAAAGCCGCCACGGCGAATAAGAGCGAAGTTCCAAAATATATGGACAATTTGCTCCGCAGCGCAGAAGTTCGGAAGCGCGACCAACTACGCGCGCGTGACCGGCAATTGGCCAAGGAGCGCGAGGCCGAGGGCGATGAGTTCGCTGACAAGGAGAAGTTTGTGACGGCTGCCTACAAGGCGCAGCAGGCCGAACTGCGGAAGATTGAAGAAGAAGAGGCACGTCGTGAGAAGGAAGAAGAGGAGCGACGGAAACAGAATGGCAATGCTGGCATGGTTGGGTTCTACCGGGATATCCTCTCCCGAGGGGAAGAGCAGCACAAAGAGGTTGTCAAAGCGGCCGAGGAAGCCGCCAAACGCCTCAAAGAGGGCGAGATTCCGTCAGAGACCGACAAAGAGCCCGGGGAGAAGACAGAGGAGCAGAAAGCGGCGGAGCTCAATGCTCGCGGAGCTCATATTGTCGTCAACGACGAAGGCCAAGTGGTTGACAAACGACAACTGCTGTCGGCCGGCTTGAACGTTGCACCAAAACCCAAAGCACCGCCGGGTGCTGCTGCGCAAGCTCCTCGGCCGGCCGCCGTGCGACCTGGTGTCAATGCGGGTTTCCAGGCGGGCCGTGCCGGTCAGCGTGCCCGCCAGACGGAAATGGTTGCCAGCCAGCTAGAGGAGCGTGCCCGACAAGAGGAAGAAGCAGAGGCTGCACGTCAAAAGGAAATTGCCGAACGCAGCCGCAGCAAAAAGACGGAAGGCGATGTGTCCAGCGCAAAGGAACGGTACTTGGCACGGAAGCGGGAGCGCGAGGAGGCCGCTGCCAAGGCAAGAAGGGGCAGTTGACCGCATTTTTCCAGGCGCTGCATCTACCCAGGCTTCTGGGATATCCTGTATACTACGGTCCCTGTAATGATATCACGTGACACACGACAACCCATCCCGCTGACATAAGCATCTTCCCACCATCACATGACCCTGAGTCATCCGGCTCGCTAAGCGGCCCCACAACTCGCACTCCTCAATTTTGCACCGTCGAGCCCGTTCAGTTCAGCCCATCTCCATCACCACCCCTTCATCTCCTTTTCGAAGTCCATCGCCAGCTTCAGTCATCCAACATGGGTAAGGTTCACGGCTCTCTCGCCCGTGCCGGTAAGGTCAAGTCGGCCACTCCCAAGGCAAGTGCCCCCTGTTCTCTAAGTTTGCCACAGTCTCCTTTTCAACTGTGTTCTCATCATCAACCGCTCTTCTAACACGATTATCGAATACAGGTCGAGCCCCAGGAGAAGAAGAAGACCCCCAAGGGCCGCGCCTACAAGCGTATCTTGTACACCCGCCGTTTCGTTAACGTGACCATGGCCGGTGGCAAGCGCAAGGTACATACACCCCAACTCACTGCATGATTCGGAGGATCTACGAGACGCACACTGTTCAAAGAAAAAGTCGAGACAAAAGGCGCTGACCTATTTATCAAATTAGATGAACCCCAACCCCGGCGCTGCTTAAATCGATCGCTCCCACAAACCAAAAAACCCTGAGCCGCGCGCTCGGCGTCGAGTTTCTACGATGTTGAAAGAAATATTCGCAAGACCCGACGACGACGCTACACGGCCGCAATCAAACGAAGGCATACCAGCTACGGCTGGCTACTTGTACGGATGATATCATGCTTCGTGTTTTCCTTTTTCGCGTTTTTTAAACTTGCTTGGCAATGGATTCGGTTTACGGGGAGGTGGAAAATTCAGCATCTCTCTGTGGTGGCCTGAGGGTGGAAAGTGAGGGAGGCTCGGAAGTTTGCTGGTCATGCATATGACGGTGGACTTTGCGGGCTGGGTGGACTTCAGGGGCTGAGCTCAGGACGGTCGGTTAAGTTTATTCGACTCGTACATAGGCTGTTCCGTGCGTCGCGTTTCCCATCTAGGAATGGAGTCTTTGCTTTTCACCCACTATATGCATTTTTGATATCGTAGTCTTGGGAGTATGCGTCGTATAAGGCGAAGCGGGCTGTGAGGGTACATACTTGGTATCTGTTCATTATATGGTACTGCGTAGGGTCTGGTGATTTCTTATCTTTATGGCTTCCAGACAGCCAATGCTAGGAGCAAGCCTAATATCTCTGGTGTACTCAAAAGGTTGGTGACAATTAAAAGCCAGTGTGGAAAGTCTGCTGTTGATCAGCTCCAAACAAACAGACCTCAACACAACGCTACCTGACTCAAGATAGGGTCTAACTAAGACACAATACGATGAATTGTACTTTATTTCCAAAAGACATTGAACCCTTCACTCCTCCTAATGTCATGACATAGCCGGCGGGAACTGACCCGAAACTCAGTTGGACGGCATCCCTCACCTCACGATCAGAAGGAGAAGTAAACCAAAAGACATGATCTCACCAATTCCAGTCTGTCGGATTCTCCCGGATAATGATCTCACTTGTTCATGACATCCATGGGTCGACCAGTTCGTTTAGGGTTATCGATCAGATGACTAAGCCCGATCAAGTCCATTCCAATGATGTCCACGACCTTTTCACGATTGCAGACAATAACTCGGGGATATATAGACGTCATAGGGGAAGTCGTTTGTTAGTTCCCAATAGTAGAAGTAAGTACTTTTGATCGCATTGAGTTTAAAGGATGTCGATTGTTTCCCTGGCGTGGATAAGGGTTACCCCACAGGTTGGAGCAGTCCTCTTCCCTCAGTACAAGATTAGGGAGACAATATGGAAAGGTTCATTGTGGTTTTGGTACGAGAGTAAGTCAATTGATTGAAGACATATGCATGATTGGATATACAGGATATTTTCGACCACATAGTATGTACACAATGTTCCCGCTCTGGACATACTAGAGATTGGAGAAAACAGTGACGAAGGCTTAAAGTTTATATCGAGACATCAGCTGTTCGGTTGATCCACTGGTCCGCCAGCCTTTTTTGGTTGAGCATCATCGACTTCACTATTTTCTTGGGCCGATGACATCGCGTCCCGCTTTGGTCTGTCTTGCACTATGAGATTCGTTGTTGGCAATTGGAATTGAGCAGGCATTGAATGGTACACCCCCACAAACAGGAATTATTCTCTTCACAGCGCCTCGGATTTGATCGTAATACGTTTGTGTTCGGAATCCCATGATGCAATGGTAGGGAAAGAACCCTATGGCCGCTATTTAGGGTTGTATCTTGCCTTTTTTATGCTTCCTTTTCTCTTTTCTCTCCCTTTTCAACCATCCATGACATAACAACAGAACTCAAGCACCAATATATTGTATATTAGTTTCGATTAACTTCTACGACGACATCCATTTTCATCAATCTTTGATACCCACATCCAAGTATCATATCACCATGTCCGCAAACACCGAGAAGAACGCGGAGAGCACCGGATCCAAGCTTATGAAGAAGCTGAGCCACAAAATCTCCCCCAGCAAGGAGGAAAGCAGCAAAAGCGGATCTGGGCAGGATATCCTTGACAGAGCAGGATCTATCAGAGAGCAAGTCAGCCACGGAAAATATGGCGCTGCCGCCCATGAAATGATTGGCAAGGGGCAGTCCAGTGCAAGCGCCCCCAGCAAAGCCGAGACAGAAGCAGCCATGAAAGAGCAGCAAGTCGGCCGTGAAAACTATGAAGGCACTGCTCAACAAATCTCCGGCCAAGGACAGTCTAGTGCGAATGCTTCCAGCCAAGCAGAGCAGACCGGCGGAGGCATGAGTGGCAGCAAACCCCAGGAAAAAGCAGAGGAAGCTGGTCGGCGGCTGTTCGGCACAAACCCGCCCGCCCAGGAGGTCACCGGACAGCAGCAAACTGGTGGTGGACTGTGGAATGGAAGTGGCGGCCAACAGAAAAAGGACGGCTTGTGGAGTGGAGGTGGTTCCAGCAGCAAGAATGAAAACCTGAACCCGCCCCCAACCTGGGTCGAAGGGTCTGGCAGACGCCCTTCACGAGTGCAAGAAAACTATGATATTAAAAGAGGTCCAATCACTTCGGGGTACTCTTTGGGCAAGAGGGACTCCACGGGAAGAACATCGCATGGGGGGCCAGGAGCAGGAGCAGGAGACAGTGGCAGTGGCAGCAAAGACGTCCCCAGCACTGGAAAAACAGCTTCAGGAAACCTCAACCAGGCGAACCCCGATAGCCATCCGCATGTCGGTCAAATTCGTTTCAGCGATGCCAGCATTGACGACGAGCTTGCCGAGCAAGGCCATATCAGCTCCGATGTTTTCGGTGGTGGATCTGCCAGCAAAGGCATTTCCGAACAGTCCGGTACTAGCAAGGACATCTCAAACAGAAAAACCCTCGACAGTCACAATGCGAACAAAGGTGTTTCTGGCATGGGCAGCAGCAGCCAAGCGACTTCCAGCAAAAAGGAAACCACCATGGACTCCTACAAAAAAACGGATACTAGTCAAGGCACAAACATTCCCCAGGGTATCTCCACTGGCGGCGGTGCCAGCCAGGGCATCCAGAATACTTCCAACAAAAAGACCAAGGACATGGGGTATTTCAGAACAGACGCAACCAAAGACGTTTCCGGAAAAGACGGCCTCAGCCAGAACATCCCCAGGAAAGATGTTCCCGTCGGTACTTACAGCAACTATGGCACCAGCCAGAACCTCCAGGGAACTTCCACCAAAGAAAGCACAACCGGAGGCTACTCTGACTCGTATGCCACTCAAGACACCTCTGGAAAACTCTCTGGTATCAGCCAAGACTACTCCACTGCAGGATATACTGGTCAAGGCTCTTCCAGCAAAGACATGGCGGGGGGCATCTCTCCCACTTCTGGTGTAAGCAAAGACCAATTCAGCCAGCGTGACACTCGCCAGTCTACTTTTAACCAAGGAAAACTTGACCAGAGTGTATTCAGTCCTGATACTCGAGGCGGGGGTATGGGCCAAACTGGAGATACGGGCCGAGCTAGAGGTATAACCAATGCTAGAGCTATGGCCCAAGATGGTGGCATGAGCCAAGGTGCTTTCGGCAGTGGCAAGGGGACCACAGAAACACGAGCTCGAGATGTTACCACCGGACAGACAACCGAAGCGCATTCCACACAAAGTGGATTTGGTCCGGGAGCCGCCAGGAGCGGAGGTCTCGGCCAGGGCTTTGGCCAGAGAGGTGTCAGAACTGGCGAACTTGGCTCTGGAGGAACCAAGACCATGGCTGGTGGAACAATTACTCGCGGAGATGGAACCATTCGCGGAAGCAGCTACAAGGTGACCGTGCTGCAAGAGAAGATCCAGACCGTCTCTCAGAAGTGCAAGTCTCAGCTCGGTCTGTCTGCCAGTGAAATCAGCCAGCGCAGTCCTAAGGTGGACGTATTTTTCGACGTTGTCGCTGCTGAACGTCTGCGATGGATGCCACGCGATGGCAGCAGACTCGATTGTAGTCTGAGATGGGCTTCCCGACTTGCATATGCCGTTGATGCGCTTCGCGAGTCGGTTGGAGAGTTTGCACCTGGCGCCACCGAGGCCGCGATGCTGATCTGGGGATTTTGTATTCTGCTTCTTGAAGTGAGTTAAACATGACAAGTCTTCATGAGTATATATACTGACCTCTCTGACTAGTCCGACATTGATAACACGGATCTCTTCGAGAGTGTTTTCGGCAGATACGGCCGTGTAGCTGTCGGAATCCATCTGCTCTTGCAGTACCAGACTGCGTACATGTCCTCTCCAGAACTCCAACCTGAAGCGGCTGCAGCCTTTGCTGATCTGTTGGAAATGGTCTGCAACACTTCTGGCAGCTGTATCGAGGGATTCAAGAGCAAGGAGCCAAACCAGGTAATCTCGCGGAATGTTGATGCTGCGTTCATCACCTACGCCCGTCGATATTCCACACACTGGAACTGCATTGTCGAGTCTAGCACCTCCAAGATTGTTGATCAAAGCTCGCAAATCTATGCCAGCCCCGAACTGGGAAGCCTCCGTCAATTCCTGAGTGTGCAGGACCGTCCGCTCCAATTCATCCTGGAGGCTCGCTCCCACACCCTTGCCGAGGGCTCTTTCGAATGGTTTAACAATGCCCTCTACGACTTCACTATGGAAAGCTCCCCTCTGATGCTGGTCACCGGTGGTCCTGGCTCCGGAAAGAGCGCTCTTGCGCAGTGGACCGTGGACCGGCTCCAGGAGTCGGCCGAGCACGATGCTTGGGATGTTATTCCGTACACAATCAGTGAGGCTAAATACCCTTCTCCATGACATCGTATACTAACATATTCTAGGGGCCGATATCCCTGTTGCAACCCTGCCTTTGCGCATCTTGAAGGGCATCTTGCACCAGATGTTGGATCACTGCGTCAGTGATCAGCGTACCCAGGAAGCAATTCTTGTTGAAGTCGCAAAAGCGGCACAGGGAGCTCTAGATGGGGCCACTGAAATGGAAATTGACGAAGGCCTTTGGAAGGGAATTCGCGCCGGCTTGCAGTCAAACATCCAATTCATGTTTGTGGTTGACGGACTTGACCAAATTAAAGGTGGCGAGAAAGAAGCGCTTGCGTGCCTTGAACAATTCCATGAGGTTTTGACCGAGCAGAACGCTGGATCGAAGATGATTGCCTTCAGCCGACCTCTCAGCTCGAAGATGCCAGGCCTGGGCGTTCAACAGTTTGACATTCAGTCTTCTCAGACTCAGACTGACATGGGAGCCTACGTGCGCAAAATGCTCTATTCCGAGTCACAGTTTGATACCTTTAAAGATGATCAGCTTGATTCGGCTGTGTCGGCCATTGTCAACCGCTCTCAAGGCTCTTTCAGCTGGGCCGAGATGGCTGTTATTTATGCCCGGCAGCAGAGGACTTTGAACCACGCTGTTTCCGCTGTGCATACTCTCCCACAGTCCATGACCGAGTTTCTTGACTTCCATCTCAAGAACATCGACTTCAATCAGCACGAGACGCGATGCATCATGTCCTGGCTTGCAGCCGCAGAGAGACCTTTGCTTGTTGAAGAAGTTGATGAGTTGCTGAAAGTCGATGCCAAAGGCTCCGGTTTCAAATCTCGTCGCACCAGTAGCGACAGTTCATTCAATTCGATGGCTCCACTGGTTATGACTCGCGATGGCGTTGTCTCTTTTGCGCATACTTGCATTCGTGACCATGTCATCAGTCAGGCAAGATCTCTCAGTACGAAGTCAGGGCTCAATCTCAAGGAGGCACATTATGATCTTCTTGCCAGGTGTCTCGCCTGGGTGCAGTTGAGCGTTCGTGAGGAGGCTGACCTGTCCTTGGACAAGCTGAACATGGAGGAGCGCAACCGACTCTTTGACAAATATGTCATCCTGGAGTACACGGCACGATACTGGCTATCACATCTCTTATCTTCGCCTCTGGTGAGCGACGAGGGAGAATTCCAGTTCAGCAATGACTTCAAAACGCTACTTCCTGCAACAGTTCTCTTTGCTCGTCTTGAGTTAACCTGCAAAGAATCGCAGTTTACTCGGTCCAGCGTTCTTGAACTCTATCGACTGGCAACTGACATTCGTCGCATTGTCTTGGGAGAGAAGTCCCCAGCGTTCCTCCAGAGTCTGCTTCTCAGTGCGCGAGTATCCAAGCTGGCGCATGCCGATTATGCGGATGAGCACTGCTACGAGGCATGGAGGCTTAGCCAGGAGCTTTTGGGTCAATCGTATTCTATCACCTTGACCTGCACTGAGATGATGACCCAGTCATTCAGCGAAAAGGGCACGATTACCTCTCAGCAGGAGGACATCATGAAGTACTTGATCCTGACTGACTCCGAAATCACTGGTGTCGATTTCAACCAGCGCTTGCGGTATCTTGGAATGATTGTCGGCATGTACAAGTCTCGTGGTGATAACGACTCTGCTCTTCTCATGTCCAAGCAGTTCTACCAACAGATTCTTCAGAAGTATGGCAGCAACTCGAGTCAATCCTCCGAGGCAGCCGAGTTCTTGACCGAACAATTCTCCACCACTGGAAGCGATGAAATGAGCAAGGATATTGCGAGAACCAAGTACGACAACATGGTCCGGACCCTGGACGTCACCGACGAGCGTCGCATCAAGTACTCTTTGTACATGGCTCAGATGTACGAGCAGCACGGCGATATCCTTCAGGCACAGACTATTCTGTCAAGCCTTTGGGCAGGCCTCAATTCTTGTGACATTGATTCTGTCGACATGATGGACAAGAAAGCCAACGTCGCCCTGGTCTATTATCAGTTCCTGCGTCGCCAAGGCTACAACGATGAGGCAGAGGTCATCATCCGCGAACTGGTAGCAGATCTCGAAATTACTGGTGTTCACTCTGCGGAAATGATGCAGAGAGTGCAGATGCTCCGAGCCGAGACCCGTGAGATGCGCCTGTACAGCTTGGATCGGTCCTTGGCGGTTCTCATGTGGCGCTACTACAAGGAGAACAACTTGGAGTACACTACAGATGCAAAGACCCTGGCACTGTCGCTCGCTGAGAGTATGGCAAACACCGTCTCCATTGAGGAAGCGTCTTCTTTGTCCACCCGGGATCGCAAGCTGCTCGTTGAGCTGTTGGATTCCATCACCTCGTCTCCAACCAATTTGTCGGTTGGTACTTTGATCTTGTGTCACAATCTTGCCAGTATATACATTCGCGAGGAAGACTGGGCCGCCGCCAGTGACTGCGCGATGGCCGTCCTGCAACATGTTTGGCCGTCAGTTGAACGTCCCTCGTCATACCACAAGTTCTCCACCGAGTTGGCACCACCTGTTGCAGACATTGCTCTGATTCTGGCTTACTGCCAATTCCGCAGGCTTCATCTGCAACAGGCCACAGTTGTGTACGAAAATGCATTTGGTTCTTTGATCTCATCTGACACAGTCCCGGTGGCCTCTGTCCTGGCTGTGGCGAAGGCTGTCGTTGAATTCTACGAGACCTCCTTCCAGTTCGAAAAGGCGCTGACACTTCTTCATACCGTGAGCAACTTCCTGACTTCTCGCCTTGGAGGTACACACAAGCACACAATCGAAAACATGTATCTGGAAGCCAGCCTCGCAACTCGTCTCGAGATGAACAACGAAGCCAAGAGCGCCTACCAGCGCATCTACCAGACCACTATGCATAACGACAAGATTTCTCCAGAGGGCACGGAAGCCGCCCTTGCGCTCATCGGTCTCTATGAGAAAGAAATGCAGTGGAATTCTGCGCTGGACATCTACAGACATCTGTGGCCGACTCTTGTTGTTGAGGATGGCATGCGCCCGGCTGATCCGATCCAAGAGGAGGATCTCCTGGAGAAGACATATTTGGGATACATGTCCATTCTCACTGCTCACACAAAATCTACAGACTTTTCTGAGCGGTACCAAGTGGCATCCGAATATGTCAACACTTGCCGAAACGTCTGGGGCCCCACGCACCAGAAGACACTCAATGCAACTCTGCTCTTCGCCGAGCTGTGCGAGACCAGTGATTCCTACATTGACCAGGCCATCTCGCTGTACAAGCTGCCTCTACAGACGAACGAATGGGTGCCTGCTTCCCAGTCAGCCAAGGGCCTTGATCAGATGACGCAGCCGCTGCCCATTACCCTCAAGCACAAGATGGCACAGCTCTTTGTACGGAAACATGATTCCTCCAACGAGGCGCGCTCTCTCTACACGGAGGAGTTCCAGCTCGCCAAGAAGACCCAGGGACTATTTTCCACCACTACGCTATCCTGGCTGCGCGAGCTTGCTTTGGCCCATGCTCGCCAGGGCACCTCGACCGGAACCCAACAGGGCACTGCCATCCTGCACACCTACGTGACTGATGTTTTGCACGCCGGTGGCGACCCTGAAATGATGGACGACTGGGCCCGCAAGGTTGCTGCCATCTACCTGGAGTGTGGTTTTATTGACGACGGCAGCATCATGCTCGACGAGCTACGCCAACGCGTGATGTCCGGATCCGATACCACGGCCATGACTCTCGGTGACCGGCGTGATGCCGTCTTTGTGGCTGCTTTTGAGGAAGTATTTGGCCGACGTGCCACCTCGACTCAGATCATGGCTGAGATGGCGCGCGAGGTGCAGACTCAGCAGACCTTTACCAAGAACCTATCTGGTCATGACTTTATTCCGACACTGATCTCGGGCGATCGTCTGGCCCGTCTACAGACTCAACAGAAGCGTACGCGCGCTGCCATGGACACGCGCAGCCGGCTGTACGACTACTTCTGCAGCAACTTGTCCGCTACAAACATCGCGAACAAGGAAATTGTGCAGCAGTTCTACCGTCTCTGTCTGCAGGAGATCCACAATGATAACTATAACATCAACATCCTCACCAAGACTACCGACCTGGTTCGCGACTTGTGCAACTCCTCTCGCTTCGAGGATGCCAGTACACTCACCGGGGTGTTGCACTCTTTCCTGCATTTGACCGACGGCCTCAATGACTACGAGAGCATCACGACGGCCACCAGGCTGTGCTTGTACTTGAGCGGTCACAGTGCCACCAAGTGCGAGGATGAAAAGACCTTCCAAGCCATGTCCATAATGTCCAAGCATATGCTTCAGGAGATCATGGAAGCCTCGAAGACCATTGGTATCGAGATAATTGATCTTCCATTCCCGGAGCTCAACGATATGATCACTCTGCTGGGCGAGCACGAGATGTTCGACGACCTGGAAGCGATCCTAACCCAGCTCTGGACCTCGCGCATTGTCCAGAGGACCTGGACACCTGATGTCGTGGTTTGGATTGGGCGACGTCTTGTGGAGACCCGCTTTTGTCGCGGTTCTGTCGACTCTGCAATCCAGCTCTGTCGCGACATTTGCTACAATCTGCGCCAGGTCTGGGGCAGTTGCGACGGCGTGACCTTGAATATGACTAAATTGCTGTCCGCACTTTACACTGCCTCTGACAATCACCAGTCCGCAGCCACTTTGCATGAGGGTGTGCTATACGACCTGCTCAGTGACTCCGAGGCAAAGGATCACCCTCGTGCCGCGGACACTGCGTCACAGCATATGGAGCTCCTCCGCCGCGCGCAGAGCCGCATGGACACGGCAGGCAAAACTTCCACGAGAGCTTTAGCACATGCAGATCTATATGCGCAAGTGGTCGATCATTTTGGACTCGCATCAGAGCAGATCCAGGATGTGGGTGCAGCTCACGGCGGCGACCAATTTGGCATGTGGTCTCGACCCAGGCGCTTCAGCTTGGATGTTGAAGACCTGGATGATCAAAGTCAGGGTGAGATGCACCAAAATCATCTGCGTGAATCGAGTAGCGTGGGTCTTCTGAATGGTAGCGGTGCTCCTAGGAGAATCTCGGTGCAGGCTCTGTAGATGGGCAAGTTATTGTTGGGATGAATCCACTTAAAACTGTCAAATATTTGATTCTGTTGGCGTTGGTCTTTTAGTATATGGAGATACAAGGAATGGAACGGGCAAATTGTACTTGTACTGTGACTATATAATTATCTCATGATCTGAAGTATTATCGATAACAGAAGTAGCGGGTTATTGTTGGGGCCCATTTGGATAAACCTTTCTCAAACCATATTGCCTGATGCATAACTAAGCAAATCTTCTCGAAAGGAATTGGCATTTACCATATGTACAATAATATTTCTCTACTCCTGGTATTTCGAATAAAATGATGAGTGGAAGTTGCCTGACTAATCCAGTCCTTCGCAAGACCTTAGTTAACGAACTGTTCAGCAATCTCCCCCTTTTCTCCTATCTTCAGAAACACACCATAATGGAGCATCTGCCGTCACCACAAACCATAGCTTTCAGCACAACAGAAATACTCGAGTTGATCCTTTTGCAGCTCGACCTCCGTACCCTCCTAACGACTGCGCAACTGACTTGTCGTACGTGGACCAACGTCATAAGAAACTCCCTACCCCTCCAGCAGGCCTTATTTTTCACGCCCATAAGGAGCTCTCAGGACATCAAGAGGGTGCAAAACTCACTCCTGGCGGACTCTTTTAGTCCGTGGTTCCAAAAGAAAGCTAAAGAGATCCCAAGAGAACTACGATACAGATTCAAGCATACCTTGAAGTCGCTGGATATGATAAGGAACCCCGCAAAAAGAACGGCCTATTTACGGAAGGAGGCAAGTTGGCGCCGAATGTTAACTTATCAGCCCCCAAAACTAGACTTTGCCTTCTTTGAAACTACGATAAGCATGGGCGGTGTTGGCTGTGCTCTATCTAAGATTCAAGTAAGCCCTCCCCTGGATAGTTTGTATATATGGCTTTCTAATCAATCAATTTCAAGCGAATGAATAAATCTTCAAATCCAAATGATGGTTTACGTATGGAAATCATATTCGAGTGGATGCTCTTCAATAACGTTTTACATTGGCAAAATCGGCCCCAGTTTGTCTGTATTCCGCTTCCAGTCTCAGACTGTAGCCAAAAAGTTACATCCATATTCAAAGACAGAGTTGCAGAATTTGATCTTGTGATTCACTCGACCTACTCAATTTCTTGTGTGGGGGGGGGGGGGGGGGAGATCCGAAGACCGAGGAAGAGGTGGTCAGAGACCGGATAGTCGAGTATTACAGAGAGATGCGATTAGCAAGGAAAATCCCTTCATTCAAACAAGTCATAGTTGCTAAACTATGGATCCCGTGGGATGACGGTGATGAAGATTTATAAGAGCGATCTATTTGAAAAATAAACAGATACTGTCACTTCTGGTATGTTATGAGTTTGTGATTACCCATCAGCTGAAGGACAAATCGGCGAACGATATGGCCTGGATTGGATCGCTGGCCGCTTTTCTCCAGTTTGCAGCAGGCGCCATTGGAGGACTATTATTCGACCGTTATGGTGCCCTGGTATGAATGCTCTCCATGTATCGCCCACTTCTCTCTAACAATATCTCAGTCCGTGTCCGGCGTTGGTGCTTTATATTTTCGCCATCATGGTGTGTCGTAGGAGGGTCCTTGCAGCCTCTTGCATGGCGTGTCACAATACCTTGACAAGAGACGAACCGCCGCCTTGGGATCTGTCGTTCCAGAGTGCTCCATTGGCGGTGTTGCCATCCCTATTGCGCTCTCGAAGATGCTTAATGGCTCGTCTTTAGGGTTTGGATGGCCAATTTAGTACGAATCATTGGGTTCTTCATACACCGTTGGCATTTTCGTGCGTGGCCGTCAACTCTCGCCTTCCCCCGCGGCCATTGAGATTCTTCATAGGATCTCTGCCTTCAAAGCTACAACGTTCGACCTTTCATCGTTGCGCTGTTCTTCACGCGGTCACACAAGGCAAGGAAGCAACGCTAACGTCGTACCTACTGGTCATCCTCAACGGCATCCACTTTCGGCCAGATTGTCCCTGGGATTCTCGCCGACAAGTTCGGTCGATTGAACATCTTTAGTGGAGGAGCAATTGCCACCAGCGTGGTTATTTCTGCTCGACTAGCCCACACCGGGATTAGTGCTTTGTGCTTATCTTCAACTGGTTTACCTCGGGCACTATCATCTCAGGCGCATCCACTGCCTTTTCGCTGGCCCTGTGCGCCAAAGATCACTGGGAATTTGGGACTTATATGGGCATCGGCTTGAGGATTGCCTCCCTGGCAGCGCTCATTGGACCTCCTGTCAGTGGGGTGCTTTTTGACAATTATGGGCTCTTGCAATATTTAGCGGCATCATGGTTTTCGTTAGTGGGTGCATTGTCTTTTCAAGCAAGGAGACTACTCCTCAGGGTCTGATGGGAAAGGTGTGATGGATTCACTGGTGGAAGTCCGTCAGCGATTGTAGTCGTACCTCCATTTCATTAGACAGAGAACATAAGAATTTCATTTGCACCAGTATAACCCTATTAACTACTTGAGCAGCACCGAAAAGCAAAACGTCAAGGCCAGAACAGTCTTTTGTGTGTTCCCCAGTGGATTGGCCGCTTGCATCACAAACCCAGGGTTCATACTTGGCAGGTGACAACAATATCGCCACCGACAGCCAAAGCTCAGCAAGAGCAACACAGATGATGTCACGAACCATGATGAGGGATTTTCAATAGCCTCCTGAATGGAGAGAGATTTCCGAGTGCTGGCACTTACAAAACGCGCTCGCTGTTTTAGCTCTCATCTTCAATCCACCCAAGTTAGATCCAACACCATCCATCGAATTCAACACGATCAACCACAATGAAGAGCATGCGATCGCTCACATCTATACTCCAAGCAGGGACCAAGTCAAGAACACATTTTCAATTGAAACCCTCTCAGGCAAGAGCCTACACCCAGGCCTTCAATACCCGCAACCTCTCAGCGGACCCAGACCCCACGTCAGAGAGACGAGCCCTCAACCCAGAAAGATACGAGACCTGCAAATCAGGGACAGACGATGAAGTCGCGCAGCACAAATCACCCTACGATCCGTCCAGCACAACGCCAGAGAGTGAACACAGAGCTCTGGAAGATGAATATAAACTCGAAGGCGACGTGTCCCACGACCCACTGTTTGTCAGCCCTGCCAATAGGGATTTCAGTTTGATTCTCGATCCGATGGTTGGCGGCGCAGTGCACAATGCCCAGTCGTTAGGGAGCGTGCGTGGGTGGACGAATAAGCATAGGACTGTGCTGAGGCGAACGGCGCCGTTTGAGTTTAGGGGGTATGAGAAGGTTGTTTGGAATTTGAGGAAGAAGTCTGCGCAAAGGTAGGTTGATGTGTGGATGGGATGTTCCTTGCGAGATGGGCTAACTTGAGCTATATTGTATAGACCGCCGGACAAGGGTGGCTCTGTAGTGTAATCCAAGTAATTGGACATTGCAATCGATCTAAGATGCAATGCAAGAGGTTCTGAAGTAGGAATGAAAATCCATTGAATTTATCGTGAGGAAAAGGATACTATAGACGAAATAGTTAACTGACAGGTGAAGTATATCGGGGCAATTCCATTTTAAACCATATGCAAGGATGAATAAGAACCGCAGACGTAGACTCCAATGCAATCCCATATTCCTAACCTTCAGATTGAAAACAAGTCAGCACTCATTCACTCGAAGTCCAGACATAAAGAAACAATGCCCAGAGACCAAAAGCGCCATGTCCAACAGCACAGCTCGATCGCCTCAAAGCAGTACAGTACATATAATCTCCACACAAGGATAAGTTTCAAAACCGAAAGCTTCTTCGCTACCTTCCCCCGCCACATCGGACCATCATCAACGCGAGCTCACAGCGATAATCTAATAATAATGTCCGAAACTCCGATCTCTGCCCGATATTTCCGCCGCGCGAAACACCAAAATTAATTCTTTATTTTTGAATTTTTATTAGAGGCGTCCTCGGCAAAGCTTAGCGCCGTTTACTTTCCCCTAAGCGATGACTCGCAGGATGAGGAGTAGCCACGACGGACGAGCCCGAGCGCCAGCCGTCAAGCCGTCGCGACGCGCCAGACTTGTAGGTGCATGCATACACATCCAGCCCACCAGTGGAAGCGACGGGGGGCCAAGACCACCGTGCATGGTCGTGGCGAACGATAAATGGCAGGAAGGACGATGATACCTATTGTGTGAGGAGAGCTGAGAAGGATTATTAATGGGTTGGATGTGACATTTGGGGCCAAATAGGGAGGTAGTTATTGTTGACGCCGGAGGTGTCGTACTAGGTATGGTGATGTACCAATCACTACTGGCTGCCCACATTGATGCCATCTACGTACGAGGCGGAAAATAGGCAAAAAAATAATTAATTCCAAGCAACTCATGAATTATTATTACTCGTCCTTCGCAAAAAGCCCCTCCCCCCCAAAAATTCTCCCCGCGGGGATCTCCACTCGATGGATTCGCCAAGAGCGACAGTCATCTGGTCCTCGTGCTAGGTTTGCAAAGACGGCCAATCAGAACCGGAGCAGGGGCGTTGGACTGGTATCCGTGCCAGCCGAGAAAAAAAAAAAATTAACTTTCGGGTTTGGTTCTCTGTTTCAGTTGTGGTGTGGAGGAATGTAGCTTCTGCCTCCTTTTCCATGTAACCACCCCAAACGACGGATCCTGCTTTCCATGGCCACGCCACAGAGGAGAAACGAACCTGGGTTAGTTGCTCGGCTACACTACGCTAGTTAAATTAGTACCCGGGTCGGCTCTGGCTGGGTCAAGGTTTTGTGGCGGTCAAAGCGGGCGCCGCTAAGGCAGACTAGAGGCTGAGTTTATACAAGCCACCAGCTTGGGGGCCTTACTTCTGGAAAGTGCGCTGTGCTAAACTAGCAGGACCATGAAAGGATCGAGTAAAAATGCGTTTCAGCGCATGTGACGTGACACACTACTGTATTCCATTTATTAAAAATGCGACAATACTACTACTAGGCCTGTTTCAGGCCTGCGGATGTATGTCTCGGCGTGCGGGGATTAGGGAAACAATTGTCACAGTGCAAAGCAGAAGTTCGATTTCGGAAATTCGGATACACGTATACGCGTAGAAGCGTAGAAGATGAGATACACAATAAGAGGGTATCGAGATATTAGGGTGATGGACGACAGGAAAGAAAGAAGCGAAAAAAAAAGAGATCACCTCTGTCTTTGCCGCAACACATCACAGAATAAAAACCACCAGGGTGAAACAATCTACTCGACCTGCGTGGCAGTAGCAGTCTCCTTCTCGGGCTCGGCAGCGACGTCCTTGGTGTCGGCAGCGACGGGCTCGTGAGCCTCCTCGGCCAGACCCAGCTTGTCGGAGGTGATCGCGCCCTGCTCAAGCTTGCGGACGTGCTGGAACTGCACCTCGGTCTTCCAGGCGCGCAGGCCAGGGGTGGTGAACATGGTCTCGACCTCCTCCAGGGTCTTGCCGGCGGTCTCGGGGAAGAGGAAGAAGACGTGGACGGTCATGGCGAAGCAGAAGACGCCGAAGACGATGTAGGTCTTCCACTGGATGTTCTCAAAGGCCGGGGGCACGAAGTAGGACAGAGCGAAGTTGAAGATCCAGTTCGACGCGGTCGACACGGCAACGGCCTTACCGCGCAGGCGCAGCGGGAACAGCTCGGGAGGGTAGATCCAGCTAACGGGTCCCCAGGTGGGCGCGTACGAGGCCACAAACAGGTACGTGCAGGCAATGATACCCTTGGCAGCGTGGGGGGCCTTGGACATATCCCACGACTCCTCCGGGGTGCCGCCCACGCCGCCGGCTGGAGCGGGCTTGCCGTAGGAGGCCATCATACCGGCGTTAGCAAACATGAAGGTCATCATGAGAGTCGAGCCAACCAGCAGCGGGGTGCGACGGCCCCAGCGGTCAATGAAGACCAGGGCGAAGATGGTCATGACCACGTTAATCACGTACTGGATGGACGAGGCGACCAGGTTGGCGTTACCCTTGAGACCGGCCATACCGAAGACGTAGGTAATGTACAGCATCATGACGTTCATGCCAGTGAGCTGGGACCAGATCTGGGTGAACATGCCGACGTGGGTGCGGAAGATCATGTCGCCCTTGAAGAGATCGAGGTAGCTGACATTGGAGTTGGCACGCTCGAACTCGACCATCTCGCGGATCTCAGACAACTCGGTCTGCACGAAGGGGGCGTTCTTGTCACCCTTGGAGTGGACGAGAGCCAGCACCTCGTGGGCCTCCTCCCAGCGATCCTGCTTGGCCAACCAACGTGGAGACTCGGGCAGGAAGAAGACAGCACAGAAGAGCATGACGGCGGGGATCATCTGCAGACCCCAGGGGGTACGCCAGGCGGCGTTGCCCGCCAGGAAGCTACAGCCGTATGAGACGTAGAACATGATCAGGATACCCCAGGTGATGGCCCACTGCTGGGCGCCGACGACGGTACCACGCTTGGAGGGCTGTGCCAACTCGGCGACGTAGACAGGGACCTGGGCAGAGAGAATACCGACGGAGACACCGTTGATGAAACGGCCGGCAACGAGCTGGCCGATGTTCATAGAGGAACAGACGATGGCGCTACCAATGCACCAGATGATAGAGCCAGCTTGGATGGAGCGCTTACGACCGATCCAGTCGGTCAGGATACCGGAGACCAGAGCGCCGAGGAACGAGCCACCGGGCATGGCGGCCGAGATACCACCCTGGTTGGCCGAGGTCGGGCCACCACATTGGCCCTTTGTGATTCCGGTCTGGTTGAAGAAACATTTGTACTGCTGAGTGCCAAGACTGGAGATTGGGAGATGGAAAGTCAGAAGTGTATCCACCAAGAGGTTTAAAAGCGCCAACAACTTACATAGCGGACATGGAGGCAATGTCGAAACCGAACAGTGCGCCGCCGACGACGGCCACCGTGGTGATGACATAGATGTTGCCGATGGTGTAGCCCATGATGGCAGATTTAGGGGGAGGAAGGAAGGTAAAAGGTAAAGAAGGAAAGTGGGCGAAGAAAAAGAAAGAAGAAAAGAAGGGAGGGAGGGAAAGTAGGGAGCAGATATAGAAACAACAAACTCTCCACGTTTGCGGAGAAAACACGCTAACCCACCCCCGGTCTGGCGCCTACACTGAGTTTGCGCCAACGCGAAGGGCCAAGGCTCCCCTAGCTTGGTCTCCCGCTAATACTTTACAGGTCCATGCGGCCTGTTCCGTCTGCCGGCACGCCACATGGTTGCATCGGGCTAAGGGCCAGCCGGCCATTTGCCCCTTTGGAGACAGCGAGCCATTGGTTCCGGCCCGGACTAGCCGAGTGTCGATGGGACTCAGAATACGACTGTAGGATGGATATTCCTTAATAATACATGCGCTATACTCTATCCTCTTGACCCCCTCCGACTTGCTCGGCGATCCGCCAGAGCAGAAACCGCTCTCTCCCTCCCGATATTTGACCGGCACCGGTAGGGTTAGTGCCAACCGCCAAGTCGGTGACATTTCCCCCGAGTCGCGGGCGGTTTTTTCCTGTCTTGGTCTTGTTTTCTTAATTAATTTTCCGAGCTGGAGGCAGAACAGGGTCGGTGGCTGGGTGCGGTATGACCACATCCACGCCGGTGTGCGTCCCGACTGGCCATAGCCCTACGAACTACGCAATATCTTACCTACTGACTGTGCGCCCAACGGCTACGAATCGTACCAGCAGCTGAACAGGAAGAGTCATAACTGTCAGAATGACCCGATCACGGGAACACATGAACCCAGATCCGGATCGTGCAGCATTCCTGCCCCCTAAACTCCGCATCCCGATTTGGGTCGGTGGGCCTCGACCACATGGGTTCCATGCTGGTATGTACTGTACAGTATACGCATCATACCGATCAAATGGATCTCCCTTGCGTCGTGGGCGGAGTGTGTGGTGTGAGGTATCGAATACTTATTCTCGGGCTGTCTTCTCGACTCGGACCGGCTTGGCTCGGTGAGGCGATCTCTGCTCTTCCGAGACATTTGTGTCAATTACAAGGGTACTTTCAGTCCATCGGGAAAAAGGACGGAGAGGACGGTTCGACGTGGCTCGCATTAGTTCTCGGTGGGTATTATGGAGCCATCTCCATTTACAGTCTCCGTAGTCTAGATCCCTCGTGTTCACCATGATTCATCTTTCGGCACGCACTAACTAATTGAGCGTAACATCCCGAGACAAAGCAAGAGACCAACGTTAATTCTCGGCTACCTCCGAGTACATGTGGTCATTGACTTTGGCGCCGTTCAGGAGCCGTCCCGACGAATCCAAATGCGTCGATGCGGGGACGGGATTGCTGAATCCGGCAACGCCAGATCTAGGGGTGAATGGGGCGCTGGTAATGACCGTAAACAGTAAATCATCTCAACTACGCTATTCAGCAAATATGGAATTGGAGGCAGGCCTGAAGTCGATACTAGTAGGAAGAAGTTGAGATGGATGATTTGCTTACTACCTATCGGGAAAGGTGGTTGGGGTATTTCTCTCGCATGGTAGTGATAGAGTTGGTTATACGAGGTAAAGGTTGTCGATATTTGGAATGTGTCGGGTAAGCACTAGCTAGCTACGCAGAAGCAGGTTGAAACAACGACACCATCGTTAATTCTCGGCTACCTACCCAGTATGAGTACATGCGGTCACCACTCTGGCGCTGCTCTTGGCCGCTCCGACAAATGCCAAATGCGGAGATGCGGGGATTACCAGATGCGGCCATGACAGATCTGGGGGTGGAGCTTTGGGGCTCTGGCCATGGGGTACAGAGAAAGCCGATTCTGGTAATGCAGGTGAAGGACAAGGGTCGATTATCTTCGTCAGTGACTTGTACTTTTTCGTTGACTTAGTTAGGTCTGGCTAATAGAGTAGGTACCAGCACATACCAAATCCGGTTATTGGAATAATGATAGGTTTCATAACTCATAAACTGTATCAACGAGAGACACGCGGGTACCTCCACTGTTCTGTCCGTGCATGCAATCAATCCCAACACATCGTCCTGTTCAAGGCAACAAGTATGTCCGGGCGCAGAGGCGCCACGCAGAAATTAAACAGACCCCAAACGCCCAACCCTCTTTTTTTGTTGGTGTATATGCATGTGCCAATATAGAATGAATAAACACCGCAATGCAACATTTAGGCAGTCCAGTCCATTCAGGCCGTCAACGCAAAGCTCAGGCCCATCAGACCCATTCCCGCCACGGCAAAACCAATTCCCATACCCCGGTTGTGCGTCAGACCAATTCCCTCGCTGAACAGCTGCAGCGCGACGGATGTCATCACTCCGGCTGTGGCGGCGAACATCCCGCCATATACGCCCCATGAAGGGCCCGTGGCGTCGTTGCCGTTGTGGCGTCCGGAGCCCCAGATCCACAATGCAGCCAAGCCCGCACCGGCGGGTTGGCTGATACCGCCCAGTAAGCTGGACCAGAACATTGCTTTCCAGCGCGAGCTGAGCGCTAGATACAACGGTAGCGCCATGGCGAATCCCTCGGTGATGTTGTGCACGAAGAGGGCTAGGAACACGGTGAGGCCGAGTTTGGGGTTGGCGTGGTTGGTGGCGTACGTGATGAAGCCCTCGGGGAGTTTGTGGAGGGCTATGGCGAGGGACGTTTGTAGGCCAATGGATAGGAATGCGTTCTGTGGGACGTGGTGGTGATGGGGATTACCAGTTGTAGGCTTCAACTGTGTGTCGTCGTGACCTTGGTGCGAGTGATCTAGATGCTCCGAGTGCACGTCTTGAGTCCGTGACGACGAGGACGAACTGGCCGGAACCGAGTGTGGCGCCGATACTGTGTCGTTGTGTCCTGTATTTGGCACCAAATTTGGGTGTGTCTCGCCAGAGTGAAGCTGCACAGCAATACTCTGATGGTGCGGTGGCAAACCAGGGCGGGAAATCTCACTTGGTGCGATCATGGGCGGGAGAATCTTGGTGCACTCGCGGCCACAGGTCTGAGAAAACCCGTAGCATGGTCCATTCTCGTCACACAGAGGCTTAACGCCGCCCATGAGCGAACTGAACCGGCGCGCGACCATCGCCCGCAACGACTCCTTGGTCGCCGAGTCTGACACCTGCAAATCGTCGGGATTGGGCCTCTGCGCGACAGCTGGTGTCGATTTGAACGACCGAGGCTCAGGTGGTCGCAGCAGGGGCGTGTGTTCGGTATCCCCGTGCGGGTGGTGGCCGTGTCTTGGGCCGTCACCGCGTTCGGGGTCGGTTTCCGGCTCATCGTGGGTATGGGCGCAGTCGACGACATTGGATGGAATGAAGCGATGGATGAAACCCGACACTATGCGGATGACAATAATGCCCGTGAGAAATAAACCGGTCAGGAGGTAGGCGGCGGTGGAGGAGGAGAAGCCGGCGCGCGAGAGGTATTCCTTGGAGGTGGGGAGCATGCTGTACAGGGAGGTGAAGAGCTGACGCAGGCTAGTTAGCTGGAGAACAAGTGAGACAACTGCAGACGTACCATCACACCCGCACTGAGACATAGTGACGCCGCCAGGAAGTTGTTGCTGTTGGCGATCTGGAAGCTCTTGTAGTGAGTGAGGCGGCGCAGCACCAGGTCGGCGCAGATAACGGTCGAGCCGAGGACACAAGCTGGAAAGGAAGTTGTTAGGAGATGTCTGAGGCAGGGAGGTCTTCACACTCACCGATCCCCGACACGGCGCTCATCACCCAGCCCCGGAGGTCGTTCGAGGCAGCCATGGCATGAGTGATAGAAGGCAAAAGCGCGGAAACCGTGATGTCAGCCGGAAGGACGGGTTGGCGGTCAAGTCACGGCACTCTCGACTCACACCACCACAATGGAGAAATATGCTACATGCCATATAGGAAGGACACAGGATTCTGACATGATATATTATATGGTCAGCGGGGCAGAACACTGGGTTATCGTCCCCAAGGTTCTCACTAGTCTAGGCCTCTACCCCAAATATGGCCCGGTCGATAATCGATCGAATAATCGAACGAGGCACATCTATTCCATTGTACCACGTCCCGATCTAGGGCCTCCAGATAACCATATTTAAGCATCCAATCTAGACTGCAACAGACTAGCGACCTGCCATTCAGAGTTAGTGCCGTCGGGCTCCTAATTCGGACAACACCCCCTCTCTCCGGTCAATAAAGACGAAAAATGTCCCATTTTCGAGACTCGAGGAGTGGAAACATTGTTGACTACAATCCATGACCCTCGCTTCGCTCGGTGACTTGTATTGACCCATCGCAATGATCTCGCTCCACCCCGTCTCCGTCGACGACATCCCAACCCTCGCCCGCATCCACGACGAGGCCTTTGCTAACGATGCCCTCATGCATCTGATGTACGGGTTACCAGAGCGGAACCCCAACCTCGAAAAAGATCTCCGAGACTGGCTTCTCAGCAGCACAACTGCGCGGTTCGTCAAGGCTGTCGACGACTCCACGGGCGAGCTTCTGGGCTGGGCCTGCTGGAGCCTTTACCTCGATGGCGAAACGCATGCCGTCGAACAAGCAGCTGCCGCGGAGCGACACAAAACAGCTCCCGATGTAGCGATTAGTCCGGCGCTCTTCTTTGACTTTCATCGCGCTGTTGCAGGGCGGAGGGGAAAGTGGGTTACGGGGAAGCCGGCTAGCAGTACGTGAACTTGGCCTTCCGCACGCCTTGGGGTTTTGTACCGCGCACGCTAATACTCACCTACTCCAGTCCTCCAGATCCTCGCGGTTGACCCCAAGTTTCAGGGTCGAGGTGCCGGCTCGGCCTTGGTTAGGGCTGGGCTGGAAGAGGCTGATCGCCATCATGTGCCGGCGTGGTTGGAGGCATCAGCGGCTGGGCTGGCGTTGTACCAGAAGTGCGGGTTCCGCGATGTTGGCGAGTCGATTGACTTTGATTTGAGCGAGTATGGGGCGCAGGGTGGTGAACGGGTGGTGTGTATGTTGTATGAGAAGATTTTCAATGACACGGTACAATAACCTAGGTAAATAAATCGCGAGTGTCTTGTAGACCCAAAGCGCAGTAACAACATAAATTGAAATATGGGTATGAAAAGCCCCTCAAGTAGCAGCAAAAGTTAATTATGAGAGTTGTTGTTATGGAGAAGTGCCCGGCTTGCTTATCAACCGTTCTATTCAAAAGACTTAATTGTCAGTTGTAAATAATAAAAATAATTTCTAGTCAAAATCAGCAGTTTGATATCTACTCAGCGATCTCAGTTTCCTTCCGGCTCGGAAAAGGACCCAGGGAACAGGTAATAATGCAACAGCAATGAATCCAAGCACATTTGTAGCCCAACCAATGCCGAGGTTATTATACACTTTGAGAAATGTCAGAAGGTATTTTATATAAAGGAAGAAAGGTACAGAAACTCACTTTGAATAGTAAACAGAGGAAATGCAGCCGCAAGTCCGTATCTGGCCAGGCTGTTCGCACTCATGGCGCTTGCAACCGTGAGACCGTGGTAGGTATCCACCATATACTGAGTCGTACTGACAAACACACATAGGTTTCCCCATGCAAAAAGCATGATTGCGACATTAGGGCTTGCCCAGGAGATCTCGATCCGAGAAGTCCATCCAAACCAGAACAGGCCAATGGGCAGACCGACGCTGCCTAGTAGAGCTGGATAGAGACGGTACTCGGGAGGAATTTTTTGTGGCGGATAATTTCCGGCCTGGCGGCGATATAAGAACACATCGCACAATAGCACTGTTAAGCTGCCTAGTAAACACCCTATAACTATAGCCAAGAACGCAAGACCGGAGTCCTCGAGGCTAAAGCCATAAACGCTTTCGAAGACGAACGGGATGGCGGCGAAGAACGAAAAGAGTGTTGCAAATTCGCATGCCACATAGAGGCAGATGAAAGCAACAATTGGTTCAGTCAAAAGCATGAGAATAGGGCGAACGAGAGCTATTGTCACGAAAAGTCGTATCTTTGAGGACAATGGTGACGATGGAGGCAAGTCTAGCCCGAGTCTTTTGGCGCGACGGTGTTTTAAGACGGGATGAAATGTCTCCTTTGCGAAGAGGGCAATGTTGATCATGGTGAAGATAGCGAAGAAGATCAAGGTCCACTGGGTCCAGCGCCAGCCTTTTCTATCAACAACGAAGCTCCCAATGATGGGTCTATGCAAGCTGTTAGCATGGTCATTAAACAAGCATGGCTTAGTGGCAAACTAATTACCCGATACCAGGACCCAGAAATGGTGTTAAAATGAAGATAGTGGACGGGATAGCGCGGCTGGTTGGTTTGAAGGTTTCGTTGATAGTCCCTGCAGCAATGGCCAAACAGGGTGCGTAAGATAAGCCCGCAAAAAACCGCAAGATGCACAGTGATGTGAACGTGCGACTGAATCCGACTCCCAATGTGAACAACGTCCCAAGAGTCATTGTGCCTATATAGACTGGATACCTCCCGACGGTCTCTGATAGCGGCCCTCCAATTACAGGGCCAAGGCCCAGAGCAAGCACATAGAGAGATAATGGTAAGATCGCAACAGTACTGCTGACTCCAAAATCTTCCATGAACTGAGAGTGAGCGGGCGACAATATAGACACGCCAACAGATCTGAATACCTATTTAGCGTCGGAGCTATACTTCTGGAGTAAGACAGATTTGGCTCACGTTGTGAAAGCTGCAGAAGCAAGCATCAAAACTTGCAGGACCTTCGTCCTCACTGGCCAGTTGTATGGATTCTCAGGATCATCGTCCCAGTCCCCTGAGTCGGTCTCTGTCGTCTCCTTGAGCCCTGCTTCGAGCCTTTCGTCAGAGGCAGATGGCAAATCCCCCGATTGGTTCGGTTCATTTGCATTCGGACCTCCTTGAGCTTTCTCCCTGTCCATTTTCAATTCTTTTTATCCTCTCTAGATCGCAAATAAATAAATTAAAGTGGTGCATAGGCCGTAGAACAAAGGACTGGTAGCGTATTAGTGACGAGTCGAGGGATACGAGAAGAATAGCGTGGTGTATTCTGGTATAAACTACAACGCCGGATGCTGCTGTCTTCTACGCTGATAAATCAACATCACAGAAAAGCCCGAGGCCGAAGACTCATGAGTTATTTGAAGAATGGATGGGCCGATTGATTTTACATCATGATAACTATTCAGTTAATTAGGCAATTTAACTTGGCGCATGATTGGCTAGCAAGTACTTCAAGGCCGAGGTGCACGAATTTGATTACTCAACAGCCGACGAGGGAGCCTCTAAGCTTATCTGGAGCGTCTATGCGGCATCTCCGGCCTGGCCCCCGCCAAAAAGATCTGGCCGAACCCCTCCAGTGCTCTGTACACCAGCTAAATGGCCCATCACATCATCATACATAAAATTAACTTGTGGTTTATCACGCATAGTATATGTTTTGGGGGTGGGCGGCTCGCTTGTGTGGGCAACTCGATTGTGAATTACGTTACGTTGGAGAATTCAGACTAGCAGTCACAAAATTGAGGGCCCAGACAGGCAACATTTGGCGGTCAACCAAAGTAATTATCGCACAGATATCAGCTATCTTAGCAGTGGCTGAACGTAATTAAAAACCATGCGCCTCAAGTTCTCGTTCTGTCCACACCCACAATTCTTCCATCTTCGTGTCATCGCTCATGTTATCCCGCCTATTAACCTCTTTGAAGAATGGAATGTAGTAAGCGCCGCTTTGGACCATTTCTGTCTGAGCGGTGCTTGCCCATAGCTGATTCAGAGCGCCTGTGGGTACATCAACAGAGGCCACCCTGCTGACTAGGCCGAAGATGAATGATAAAATTGGGTTGCTGTTCAAGCCTCCACCAATGTTTGTCCGGACAAGTCCCGGATGTAGAGCGACAGACTTGATCGTTGGATAACGTTTGGCGTAAGATTTGGTGAAATATATATTGGCTAGTTTCGATTGGCCATACCGGGCCACAGTGCTGATATCCATAAGTGGCGTCTTATCCCGACTGAGAAGAAGTCCCCCCTTGGGAGCCATAGTATATATTTCGGAGCTAACGTTGACAATCCGAACGTCGCTCCCAGCAACACTAGCTGTCTTCTCCAAGACTGGCAGCAGTAACTTGGTGAGAAGTGCTGGACCCATGTGATTGGTACCAAATTGGATTTCGTAACCGTCCTCCGTCAATCCTGGGGAAGCGGCGAAAATCCCAGCGTTGTTCACGAGGATATGGAGATAATCATTCTCGGCCAGAAAGCTGGCGGCTGCCTTTTTGATGGAAGAGAAGGATGCCAAGTCGATTTCGAGATAAATAATGTTTGCAGAAGGGACTTGTTCTTTGATCTCTGCAATTGCGGCGTGCGCTTTCCCCTTGTTGCGAGCGCCCATATATATCTTTGCGGGATTGTGTTTTGCGAACTGCTTGATGGTTTCTTTTCCCAGGCCATTGTTGCCTCCAGTCACTAAGATGACTTTACCCTCCAGGTCAGGAATGTCATTATCAGGACTGAATGTATGATTTCTGCGAAAAAGAAACGACATCTTGCATCTGGGCGTCTCCTTAAACTCCTTGTGTGACGGATCGGGTTGGGCTGGGGGGTGTTCGAATTGCGATGTTAAACAAATATCGATTCTTCCAGGAAGAATCGATCTATTTATGTTTGGACTTCACTAGACCCTTCACGCTCTGGCGATGTGGAGAGTTGGCGAATGGCAGGCATAGTGTACAGAATATTGAACTGAATCGGCATAATTAATAGATCCGCCTCGGCAGTTGTCCGAGCATTTATAAGCACATTCTGCTCCTCTCTGGGGTTGTGTAAATGCTGCAATAGTCGACCATTAAGCGCGGATGGCGAGGATCGTATTTTATTGCCACCGCAACTTTATTGCATCGTCAGTTTACCAAAGTCTATGTCGGGTCCCGAAAGTACTCTGGTCATGCCGAGGTCAAATCAACGTTAATAAAATGATTATTCATAAACCGGAACTTACTAGTTGTTCCTCACGGAACAACCAGACAGAAATTTTATGGAGACAAACCCCCAACGGAGAGATTATCTGCCCGATACCGAGAAATGATGGTCCACTGTGGACTGTGTTTGAGATCTTTAGTCACCACTTATAAGCCATAAAGCTACATTGCGCTCTATCGGTAGCTGTCCATGACATAGAACATCAGCCGCACATTTACAGATACAATGAAAGCCTTGGTCTCTACACGCAATATCGTCAACCGAGTTATCAACTTGAGTTTGGGCAAATCAATTGGACTGGGAGCTGAAGTCAAAAATGTTGCTATTCCTACAATCTCAAACCTGGAAATTCTCGTGAAAGTCCACGTCGTCGCGCTCAACCCCACAGACTTCAAACACATCGATATTATCTCCCCTCCGAACAGTATTTGTGGCTGCGACTATGCTGGCGAGGTAGTCGAGGTAGGGAAGAATGCACCGGGAGGATGGAAAGTGGGTGACCGGGTTGCAGGCTGTGTGCATGGGGGGCTTTATCCCGACAGCGGCTCCTTCGCCGAGTATTTGAAGGTTGACGGTGACCTTGCCTGGAAGATCCCAGAGGGCCTTCGTGACGAAGAAGCGGCGACATATGGCATATCAGCAGTCACGGCAATGCTGGCGCTCAATGTCCGCCTTGGCATTCGAAATGACGATGACTCCGCCCCGGGTAGCGTCAAACAGTTCAAATCGCCGGCAAAAGGGTCCGCTATACTTATCTATGCTGCCTCGACCAGTGCCGGCCTTTTTGCTGTACAGATGGCTAGCAGGGCTGGATACACAGTTGTTGCGACTGCATCGCCGCATTCTTTCGACCTTGTTACAAAGTACGGTGCGGACAGGGTCTTCGATTACCGCGCGGCAACCGCGATCATGGATATCACTACTGCTTTCCCTGGCATCAAATATGCCATGGATTGCTTCTCTGAGGGCGGTTCGTCCGACTTTTGTGCGAAGGTGATTGGAAATAATGGCGGCAAGGTCATTACACTGCTTGATACAGGAAAGTCGAAAGTTCAAGGTGTTGAGAATGATATGATTCTGGCCTACACCTTATTTGGCCGCCCATTCGCCTGGCTTCCGCCCATTGGTCCCAGTTTGCCAGCTATGCCGCAAGATCGAGAGGCTCTGGTTTCCTTCTACAGAGGTCTAGCGTCCAACGCAAAACATCTAAGACCTCCTCCAATAACCGTAGCTGATGGTGGGTTTGACAGTATTCTGGACGGTCTGCAAAAGCTTCGACAAAAGCAAGTTTCAGGCAGAAAGATAGTTGTGAAGCTTTATTAGTTGTGTTCGCACTTTAATAGTGTACGTATATCTATTAATCAAAGGTCCGGTCCGCGTTTTGAGAACAGTCCGAAAAGTAACTATACCCAAAATGGGGAATGTAAAATTAATCAATTCCGTACGAGAAAAGGCCTCTTAAGTACGTTTAGAACAGGCTATATTAGCTTCAAGCTCAATCCAAACGAAATCAGTCTAGTGTCAACCGAGACAGGAAAGAGGTGGACTAGTGGATGAGTAGATGATAACTGAACCATTGAAGAAATATCAATTCTCTCCTTGGATACTTACGCCAATTGAAACGAGACTAGGAGAGCTTTCGGCGGCTGAGTACTGGATTTCTAATCCAAATGCATGATTTTGACCTCTTTCTTGTCTTTGACCTCGGTACTTGTCAGATTACTGATCAACCTAAGCAGACTATTCGGCCCACTTGAGGATATTGACATCGATTATGGAAAGGATGTCTGGCCCATTATTTTCTGTTGGCTCAACCAGGAAGCATGCATGAATATCCCAGACGGAGAGACCAAGTACCCGATCCGATGGAAGCAACTATCAGAGAGATATTAACTCCGTAAAGTCAATGCCCGAGTAAAATGATTACCGGTCACTGGACTTCCTAGACAAAAGTTTAAGCCAAGAGCAGGCCAAATCTTGTGGTTATGTGCTTGTAGCAGATTGTTTGATTTGTCAAAATCTAGACCGTACGATGTCCCACAATAGAAGTCAAATCACGAATGAATAAATCTCTGATTAGATAAAATCCAGAGGTGCCCAGCAATTTATGGGGCGAACTAACTAATAATTGATAGCGGTGAGTGTCCAATTCTTGAAATGATTACTTATACTCGGTCCCAAGTCGGATCACCAACAGCGCCAAGCTCCAGTAGTCCGAACAGCTGGGTTTTGGGGGTGTCGTTGGTTGGTGAATACAGTTAACTAATAACTAACGTTAAGGGCCGAAAGTTTCACAAAGAAGTGAAGACTCTTCAGCAACCCATCACATCCATCCATCTGGGTATCTTCTACTATCACAAATTGCCACTTTCACGGAATTTCTGCCATTTTTCGCATCAATATGCAGTCGAACTCTCAAGCTCAGCCTCTAGCCTTGGCTGGCAAGGTCGCCATCGTGACAGGAGGGTCGCGGGGTATCGGAGCTGCCATCGCCCTAGAGCTCGCTAGGCGCGGAGCCAAGGTGAGGACCGCTTTCTGCCAATCGAGAAACAAAGAAATCTAACGGGATCTCAGGTAGCTATTACGTTTGTGTCTCCCAGCAGTGAGTCATTGGCAGACCAGATTATCGAAACCATAAACAACCTGGGCCACGGTGCTTCTGCCGTTAAAGTTCAGGCGGATATGCGCAGCCTTGAATCGCCAAAAAAAATTATCAAGGAAGCGACCAATGCGTTTGGAGAATCAATCGATATTCTCGTTAATAATGCCGGCATGGAGTTTGGGAAACCACTCGGGGAAATTGGTGTTGAGGAATACACACAGGTTCTGGACGTCAATCTTCGCAGTGTCGTTTTCATGACGCAGGCTGTGCTCCCCAATCTCCGCAGCCCAGGCCGGATAATAAATATTGGATCTGTTCTAGGACGTATTGGTTACCCAGGAGTGAGTATTTACTCGGCGACAAAGGTAGCATTGGAAGCTCTATCCCGTGGCTGGGCGTCGGAGCTAGGTGCTTCTAGCCACACAGTGAACGTGGTTGCTCCCGCACTTACCGAGACAGATATGATGGCTCGGTCTGCCGGATCGGAGCAAGTTCTGGAAATGCAAAAGAAAATGACTCCTATGGAGCACAGACTTGGGAAAGCGGAGGATATTGCCCTCGCTGTGGCAATGTTAGCGGAGCCATCGAGCAGATGGATCACTGGACAAACCATCCAGGCTGGTGGAGGCATCTACATGTCGTGAGTGACGACGGGAGAGGGCGAGATATAAATAAGCCAGTCCGTCGCCTGGAGAGTCCCTTCTTCAGATTGTCCTATCGTCTACAACTAGATTGGAGTAATCAATCCATGCAAGACGTGGCGTACCAGGGACAGATCCCAACAAGGGCTGAATGTGTCACTTTGGTCTTCGTAAGCCGTCTCAGCTATTATGCATAATACCCGCGGAGGAGTTCGTTAATGCTCAGCGGATTTTAGTGTTATAGGCCCTATAAACGGTCTAATATCGAAATGGATTCGGGTTGCGACAATCGTACAAATCTACTTGCGCCTATGTTGCTGGGAACAGGTTTCGAAAAACCTGATTGGCTACTGGACGAGCAGTTTTGATCGGCTATCGGGTTGTCTCGAATTCGGCTTCATCGGCTTGAGGCATGCCAACCGGAGGCCGCATAAGATCAGAGTCTTCGGTATCCTTGTATCTGATCAGTCTATTGTCTTGCTCTGAGTGCGGTTCCACTTTCCCTTCTGGGGATTCCATTTCTTTATGTAGATCCCTCGTCGCGAGGAATCCATAGTCCGGCATGAGAAGAATAAGAACGATCATGGCTTTAGTTGCATCAATTGACGTGTTTAGCCCAAGATAACCTTTGTTTCCTTGGGCGTCGTGCAGTATTCCACTTTAGGGGCCCTTGACGGCACCCTGAGGATTTTGTGCAAACTGCCATGGTACCTAGGACCATATTCTGTTCCTCACTGAGTTTATCAGACCACACCTGTGCTTTCTTGTCAGTGGATTCGGTGTCATTCGATATCATCAGCTGGTCTGTCGTGACACCGATCATGTCCTTCTGCCCACCTCAGCTGACCCGCTGATTGGCCCGTGACTTGTTTGATTTTCCTTTTCTGTTCCTGACTTTCTCTCGGTTTTTCTCTTTGTTCCTCAACCTCTCTCTCTCTCCTTTCAAAAAGGCCCGTCGGGTCTCCTCTCTCCTCTTCCATACTAGTCATGTCCAAAGCAACCTTGGCCGTCATCGCCGCCGCCAGCGCAGCCACTGGCGCCGGCGTAACGGCGCTGCTCTACTCCTCCAAACCTCGTCAGCAGCAACAACAGCAGCAACAGCTCCCCTCTCCTCCCACCGGCGTCGTCAAAGTCCCAGTTCCAGCAGGCACACCCACGCCAACGCTCGCTGCCAAAGTGGCCGCCGCCGCTGCCGGCCCTGTCGACCCCTCCGGGATCTTCCAATATGGCTTCCCCGGCCCCGTCGCTGACGAGCTCTCCTCCCTCCCCGTGACAGGCGCCTTCGATCGCCGCACTCGCAACCCAGCCTGGGTCGCCGAGCACATCACACCGCAGTCGCTGGCCCTAAAGAACGCCGACCGGCGCCACAGCTCCTTCGTTGAGGACGAGGCCCTCCCGCCCAAGTTCCGCGCCAAGCTGGCCGACTATTTCCGTTCGGGCTATGACCGCGGCCACCAGGTGCCTGCCGCGGACGCGAAGTGGTCTCAGGCGGCTATGGATGATACCTTCGCGCTGAGCAATATGTGCCCCCAGGTCGGTGAGGGCTTCAACCGTGATTACTGGGCGCACTTTGAGGACTTTTGTCGCAATCTCACTAGACGATACTCCTCTGTTCGCATCGTCACTGGCCCACTGTATCTGCCGCACCGCGACCCGGATGGAAAGTGGCGCGTTAACTACGAGGTTATCGGCAACCCGCCCAATGTCGCTGTGCCGACCCACTTCTACAAGGTCATCTATGCGGTGGATGGCTTGGAGTCTCCCGACAGCAAGGTCGCGCTGGGCGCGTTCGTCTTGCCCAATGCGCGCATCCCCAATGAGAAGCGTCTGTCCGACTTTGAGGTTCCGCTAGAAGCCGTGGAGCGCGCGTCGGGCTTGGAGTTCGCCAACAAGCTGGACCCTAGCCGCCGGCGCCGTCTGTGCCAAGACGTGCGCTGCGAGATTGTGGTGCGCGAGTTCAACAACGCTAAGAAGGCTGCTTCGTGATGGACGAGAAGATAGATTGTGCTATCTTCTACTTTTTGTATATCTAGGGCATTCGCGGATTTTATGCATGGCCGGGCGTTGCATGATGATTTACTTGAGCAGTCGCATCATCATCATTAGCATCATCACATCAATCGAGTGACTTTTATCTTTACATCTAACATTGAAATGCAACACCCGTCTTCGTAGCCACATTGCCTCCTCCACCTGCAAACCCAGTGCCCTCAGAGCAAACTGCCACCAAACCGGGCTGAATTCCACCATCTTTCTCCTTGTCCTTCTTCTTGGACTTTTTCTTTTCGGCGCTTTGCTCTGGATTGCGAGGCGTGATATCCGTCTCGCAGACATAACACAGCATCCGCCCGTGTAACGCAGCCGAGCGAGCTTGCTCTTCTTTGGAGGCGTGCGGATCAGGTGTTTCGTGGAGAGTCATGAATTTCGTTACGCAGGGTGAGCAAATGATGTGGCCGCAGGGTTTCGTTACTGTAATTATATGATTATCCCGTTAGTATCGACATGCCTCGAGCAGAACATAGACATGGAATGGAACATACGCATCGCTTTAAGCCCATTGCTCAAATTCTTCTTACAGCTCGGACACACACGCGAGACCGTCCCATCCGCGCCGGTTTCTTCTGTGAAATGCACGTCCACTAGCGATTTGAGCGAGTAGCTGTGCCGATTAGACTCCGTGGAAGCAGGACAGATGGGCACCAGCTTGACAGCTTTTTGGGCAATGATCTCATTGGGATCCGTGCCCGGGGTGAGAGATGGGACCCAGAAGGAGGGTAGAGCGGACTTGGTCGAGGACTATGAAGAAGCGTTAGTATCCAAGGCGAAGAAAGTCCAGAAGAATAGGGGAGGAATGATATAGATAGAAATACCTTCTCCTGTTTCAATTCCTTTTTCAACCTCTCCTTCTCGTCCTCTGCATACCGGGCCATCTCCTTCTCATTCAGCTCAAACACCCTCTTCCTTTTCCCATCAATCTCCACTTCTCTTGCCTTAAACTTCGCCATGGCTTCTTCCGTCTCACTCCCTTCCGCCTTCCGCTTCTTCCCAGCTTGATTCCCACCACCACCACCTTCCAATCCCATAGAAACAAGCTCAAACTGAGCCAACTCCCTCCTCCTCGCCTCCTCAAGCTCCCCCTCCTCCCCCTCCGCCAGCCTCTTCCGCGCATCATCGCGCTGTCGTTCAAGCCGCTTGATCTCCTGCCGCTGCGCGAGGAGGTCATTGATTGCGCACTCGCGACAGAACAGATCTCCGTTCGTGGCGCAGGCCACCACCGGCGCGCGGGCTGGTTGGAGACATAGTCGGCAAGACGCGAAGGGGAGGAAGCTGTCGCGGCCAATCACGCCGCGTTTTGTGCCCCATGTTGAGCGCAGCAGGCCGCGCTCGTAGGAGGTAAAGTGTGGGAGGGAGGTGTTGCGCTTTGAGTGCGCCATGGCTTTTTTTGGAATTTGTTGAAGTTGAAATAACTAACTTATGGCGTAATGATTGATGTGAAAGGTCGATGAGATAAGACGGATGACATAATCGGCATTGGCTTTTTCACCTTAACAATGAACGGACCCGAGGGTGGACGCGATGCCATGTTTGGATAAGCCCCTTTTCTTGTCTCTTAACTAAGCGTTGGCAATGCATCTTTTTGGCTTGACGAACGAACGCTTAGACAGCACCGTCCAGACATTAATTAAGTATTGCTCTCGGCACGTGTCACGGCATGCTTGTTATGTACGCAATCAGAAATGGTCCTAGCTGGAGACCACTTCCCTTTTTCGGTGTATACCAATGCATATCCATCACAGAGTCAATCATCTGGTAATAATCTCCTAAGATTGCGATTTTCTCTTAATTGTGAAAGGAATGTGACGTCGTCGTTTCTCACTACGGCCAAGATGATCTCTCTTTCCTGAAGATGCGACTGACTATCTTCTCAAACCTAACCGGACACCGTGGGGCTGGCTACATAGTTATTTAACGGAAGACCTCAAGAAATCCCGCGACAGTGGAGGCAGCAGCGCCGACCAACCTGCAATGGCGGGACCAGGAGCGTCCGCCACCTCGTCTGATAAGCCGAAGTCTCACTCGAGTAAGGTCATGAACAAGCTGGACCCTTGGTTTGACCAGAATGCCATTGAGGCACAGCAAAGTGGTGAATTTGGTGGCCCAGAGGAAAGACGATCTGTTGCTTGAAGAGGTATGCAGTGTGGCTCTGGAACGCCGTGTCTAGGCGTTTTTGTCAGTTCGAGAGACTGACTCGGACTGACTGGTGGTTGGAAGAGAAGGACAGCACATATGTGGACAGGCTTTGCGGTGAACCGTGCCTATAACCCAACTCAATGTAGATTTGCAGCCTAACAAATCATGTACCTTTTGTATGGAATGCTTCGTTTCTTATATATAAGAAATATCCTATAAATCTGCTATTTCCCTAGCCCCGTCAAGAGACAAGACTAGAATAAGATCTATGTGATGTTAATACTGTCACTGCATTACGTCCATTCTAAAATATGTACTTGCACGCCAGCGCAATCAGCCATGGCTGCAGTGAGGGCTGTCCCTGGGTATCTCCAAGACGGATTTGCTTTTCCAAGATGGTTCCGGGGCCCCGCCGGCTGCTCACAGGCCACGGCGTGTACCCGCGCTATAGAGCTACCGCTTGTGTACCACCCAGGTTGGAAGACAGCCATCGGAGTCCCCGCATTCTTCTCCTTTCCTCCTATTTCACATTACCTCGCCGTACGAAGCTTAGGAATGTCGCCGACATCGGCGCAGGTTACGAGAGTAGAAGATCGACGATACTGGTGACGGCCACAGTACGTAAACTGAGGGAGAAACAAGTCATCCTACAATTAGACGCCAATCTCTCTATCTGATCCCTATCAGCGTTTGCAACCTCGGCTGCCTCTTATCCAAATTTACACTTGTTAAAGATGTCGGGAATTGTCTCATCAGAATGCTCCAACTACAACATTCTCGTCCTACCAGGTGATCACGTTGGACCCGAGATCATGGCCGAGGCTCTGAAAGTCCTTGACGTGATCGAAAGACTCCGCCCCGGTCTGAAATTCCACCGCACATTCGATCTAGCCGGCGGCCGCAGCATTGACATGCATGGCGTCCCCTTAACGGAGGAAGTGCTTTTAAAAGCCCAGAACAGCGATGCCGTTCTGTTCGGCAGTGTTGGCGGCCCCGAATGGGCCGACATCAGCCCTGGCCCTGAGCAAGGCTTGCTCCAACTACGCCAGCGCCTTGATACCTTTGCCAACATCCGACCTTGTGAAATGCTGATGCCTTCATTGCTTGATGCTTCACCCATTAAAGCTAACCTGGTCAAGGATGTCAAATTCGTCGTGGTTCGCGAGAACTGTGGCGGTGCATACTTCGGCGAGAAGGTCGAAGGGACAGAAGCCGCTTCCGACCTTTGGGCCTACTCGAGGGCGGAGGTTGAAAGATGTGCGCGTGTTGGTGCTGCAATTGCTCGAATTATGGGTGGTGGTGGTGCTGACGGCACTGGGCCTGCTACTGTTTGGAGCGCTGACAAGGCCAATGTGCTCGCAAATGGGCGATTGTGGAGAAAGGTCACCCAGGACATTTTTCACCGAGAGTTTAAGGACATCACGCTAAAGCACCAGCTAGCCGACAGCATGGCCATGCTCATGGTCCGACGGCCCACGATGTTCAACGGCGTTGTTCTGACCGATAACACGTTCGGTGATATCCTGTCAGACATCTCCGGCGGAATACTAGGAACCCTCGGCTTGCTGCCCAGTGCCAGCGTGTCAGGGGTTCCCGGTGAAGGCAAATTCAACGGTATATACGAGCCGGTGCATGGGAGTGCTCCAGATATCTCGGGTCAAGGGATTGTCAATCCCACGGCACAGATTCTCAGCGTGGCACTGATGCTGAGGTATTCGTTCGCCCTCTCGGAGGAGGCTGATGCTATCGAGAAAGCAGTCAAGTACACGTTGGACACGAAAGCAAACGGTGGCCTTGAAATCAGAAGTCTTGATCTTGGGGGAACTGCCACCACATCTGAAATTGGAGACGCAGTTTGCGCTGCCCTTCGAGAGATGCACGGCGTTCGGGATTAGTTGTTGCGGCTCTGTTTGCGCCAGCTTTTATGATTACTCCGAATGAATAAATTTGGGCGATATTTGTAGTCCAAAATACACAAAAGCTTTACGCAATAGACTACAGGTAAAATTTCGCAGGCTTGCCTATTAGTGGAGTGCACACTGAACATAGTTACGGTCATTGAGTTGGTCTTGGCGTTAGGGTTTAGGGAACAATCTGTGAGTTTAATGGCGCAAGGCGGTTTTGCAAGGCACTGTATAGTTTTCTCTTTCATAAGTCCATTCCAAAGTGGTTACACCTAAGCGCCAAATCAAGCGCTTGGAGGTTTCACGCTGATTATGCAGAGCATGGTATTTTTATAGATACGGTTTCAGATATTACTCGATTGCAACTTTCGAGGACAATCATCGAACTACGAGCGGCTCGGGTCAGAGCAGCCACGGATGCTCAAGCAGCTGTCTTGCGGTCCTGCGCTCTTCTGGTAGTCACTTAAGCATGGACTTGAGAAAATTAAGAAAATATTCCCCTCAGTGCCGGAAAGTCGCTCTTCTAGACTTTCCAGAGAAATGGGCGGCACGATGGCGCCTTAATGAGCAATCCAAGCGCCTGCAATAATGTCAGCACAAGTGCCGAGAACTTATAAAAAGATTGAATGCCGAGATGCCAGCGCTTAACGTTGTGGTGAAAGCACTGCCCCGTTGTTTGAGCACAACATACCTTTGGCTCCTGGGCAGATTTGTCATATTTGCAATGTTGAATTTTAAACTCCAAAGACACGCAACAAAGATCTTGGCATAGCCAGCTCATTGAGTAGGTATCGTAGTCAAACTGCCTGTAATCCGATACCTATCATTGAATACGTCTATGGGATAGAATTGCTCGAGATGTAGTAGGGTAGCGTCTCATCTTCGATGGGCCTTCCACGTGCAACCTGACAAATGATTTTTGATACGTGGGCTGACAGGGACGTGACGCTGTTCTGAAGGCAGTTCAGAAAGCGCTTAAGCGTGAGGCCTTGCCTAGCGTGGGGACAAGGGAATCTTCGTGTCGATGGAAATTTGGTTGTCGCACTCCAAAAGACTGGCAGACGCGATGCTTGATCATATGACCCGGCGCCAGCACGGACTACATTTGGTCTCACATCCATTTGCCTACGCTATCTACTATGACGAATCGAGTACACATGAGACTGTAACTATTGGTACAACTGAAAAGGAAAAGAGACGAGGCTCACTTCTCTGACTTTATGGTCAGTGTGCCTGTCTTCGTGATCAGATACTCATCCAAGGCGACCTGCTTGCCACTCTCCTTACCCCAGCCACTGTCCTTGATTCCCCCAAATGGGGCCTCTGCAGCGGAGCTATTTCCAGAATTCTGTAGGTTGCCCCGTTAGCTATACCTTTATTTCATCCTTTATCCAGAAGAAGTCCAAAATGAACTCCATTATTTACTCACCAAGCCTATCATTCCAGCGTCAAGCTTCTCTAACATCCGCCACAGTCGATGAACATCTTCGGTGAAGACGTAGCTCGCCAGTCCATAAGAAGTCTCATTCGCACGACGAATGACGTCTCCTTCCGAAGCGAACTTCTGAATGCCCAGAAGAGGTCCGAAGTTCTCTTCGTGGACCATACGCATGTCATCGCTCACATTGGTAACGATCGTTGGTTCCATAAAATAGCCCGCTGGCTTCTTGCCAGTGCCTGACAGATCGACTCTCCTCCCTTTTCCAAGCACGATTTTGGCTCCCTTTCGAAGGGCGTCGTCAACCAGCTCTTCCATTCTGTCTAGGCTTCGTGCTACCGTAACAGGGCCAATAGTAGTCTCACGAGCCATTCCATGTCCCATTTGTAGAGACTTTGTCCGCTCAACGATTCCCCTAACGAAAGCATCGTGGACATCAATATGCACATAAACTCGGTTTGCAGTAATGCATGCCTGCCCAGCATGGCGCCATTTGAGCGACATCAGTTGGTCAAGTGCGAGGTCCATGTCGGCATCTGGAAACAGAATGAAAGGACAGTTTCCGCCGAGCTCGAGTGTGGATTTCTTCAGCCCTGTGGAACAATAGCCGGCGATTATCTTGCCTACGCGTGTGCTGCCGGTGAAGCTGACTTTCTTCACCAGTGGATTCGTGCAAAGCGCCTTGGACAGGGCAGGGGTGTTCTCTAAGCTGGTTGTAAGAACGTTGAGAGTCCCAGCAGGAAATCCAGCTTGCCTTGCCAGGGAAGCCAAGCACAGAGCCGAGATAGGTGTCTCGGGAGACGGCTTGATAACCATCGTGCAGCCTGCAGCGAGTGCGGCACTGGCCTTGCGAAGAACCAACGCGGCCGGGAAGTTCCACGGTACGAGTGCGACAGCCACGCCCAAAGGCTGCTTGACGGTGATGCTTCTCCGATTTGGGATAGCAGCATCGAATGTCGACCCTTGAATGCGATCTGCTTCTCCGCTAAACCACCAGGCAAAGCTGGAGCCATACTCGATTTCCGCATGAGCCTCGACAAGTGGCTTGCCCGTTTCGTACACGATTACTTTTGCCAAGTCATCCTTCGCGGCTTGAATAAGCTCGTACCACTTCATAAGTAGCTTAGCCCGCGATCGCGGAGTGGTTTGCGAGTAAAGTTGAAAGGAATCATACGCTGACTGCACTGCCGCATCGGCGTCCTCTGGAACGGAATCGGGACACTCGATCCAAACACAGCCAGAACCAGGATCCTCCACGGAGAAAGTCTTGCCTGATTGGGAAGGGACAAATTGTCCACGCACATAGCAGAGATTGTGCAGGATATCCGGGTTGGATAGAGTGAAAGGAAGATTCACCGGTGTCATGTTTGTAGCGAGTTTAGTTCCGGGAGGCTCGGACTCTGGTGGTAATCTTGTAGTCTGATACCTCAAATCCTCAAGCTCTCCATTTGCCTTTTATTCTGTCCATCCTTGATCACAGGACCATAGACCATACTGGACGTCAGTATTCCCAGACATTCCCAGTCCGTGTGGCTAGCTCCGGCGTGGAAGGATCCACCCCGGTGGTACGCTCCGCATTGCCCTAATTTTGGGTTTGGCCAAACGTTTAGTAACTTTATGCTGGAGTCGAGCGAGCAACTTCCCCGGAATCCCCACAAACCTTCACGACGAAACCACAATCTTGCCGATTGCATCTCCGCAATGCATCGCAAGGGATCATAATCGACAGCCCAACTTCCTTGAAAAAGTTCCATTCTCCCCCTTCCCTTGCACCCCTAAGACCCAAGTTGCAGCTGTTTACCCCCACCTGAAGCTAGGTACCTACCTTGCCGACCGTCAGACATTTGATTTCGCGGTTCTCCTTTAAACCTATTACCGAAAAGCAGAATGAGTCGTTTCAACATTCACAATCGCTTGGTGGCTATCGCTGTCTCTTTCGGGTCTCTGGTACATTCAGGCCCCCGTCCCGAACAGATTTTAGAGTAATTGTACTGACGGCTCAAGACCTACGGCTATTCCTCTTCGATTATCGGGAGCACAATTGGGCAGCCTGGATGGTATTCTTTCTTCAAATTGCCCGCCCAAGGCGAGCCGGGCTACGCAACTACAACAACTCAAGCCATTGCGACCGCCAATGGTCTCTATAGTGCTGGAGGCGCCGTTGGCAGTCTCTTCATTATGTGGGCTGCCAGTGCGATTGGACGCAAGCGCAATATTCAGTTGGGAGCACTCCTGGTGCTCCTGGGTGGCGCTTTGCAAGGCGGAGCGGCCAATCTGGAGTAAGTGACGTGTCGTTCCGAATTCAAAAAAGATAGACATACGGGACTGACACCTCTTCTAAACAGCATGTTTCAAGCGGGCCGCTTTATCGCGGGTCTAGGAGTGGGCATCCTGGTGACCATTTGCCCGATGTATCTCTCCGAAATCTCCCCGCCACAGAACCGAGGATTCTTAGTCGGTCATCATGCGATCTTCCTGGTCTTCGGATACATGCTCAGCTCCTGGCTTGGGTTTGCATGCTACTTCGCGACCGGGGATAATCCGTCTTTTGCATGGAGGTTCCCTCTCTGCATGCAGTGTTTCGGTCCTCTTGTCTTGTTCCTCACGTCGATCTTTATCACAGAGTCCTCTCGTTGGCTGCTGCAGCAGGGCAAGTCCGAAGAAGCTTGGAAGTCATTGAAGAAATTGAGGAGACACCCTATTGGTGATCCGGAGGACCTTGCGATCAAGGAAGAGTTCTACCAAATCCAACAGCAGCTCGCACTTGAGCAGGCGAAACTGAATGCTCTAGGCTACGGACCTTGGACTGCTATAATCAAAAAATCAAGCTATCGCAAGCGAATGATCATCGGGTTCTTGACTCAGTGGGGTGCGGAATTTGGAGGACCTTTGGTCATTGTAAGTTTACACCCTTTAATTCGTCTCCAGAGAAAGTCTGGTCGCGGCCGTTGAGATTGATGGTTCGAAAAATTAGAACAACTACTTTGTCATTTTGTGTACCAATCTCGGTCAAACGGGCTATATGCCCCTTCTGCTCTCTGCAATCTGGCTTACCACCGCCGGTGAGTTACATTATCAGCAACCTCGCCAAAATTATTGAGACTAATCGAATAAAAGGTCTGATATACAACCCATTCGGAGCGTGGCTTCATGACCGGGTGAATTCCCGCCGGTGGATGTTCATGGTTGGACTGATGGGCTGTCTGGTCACAACCTCCGGCCTGGCCGGGTGCATTGCTCAATATTCTGGGAAGGCCAACAAAGCCGGCAACGGAGCTGGCTTGTTCTTCATTTTCCTGTATTTGGCATTCCAAGGGTAAGTTGATGGCCCATCCTATGGTCTCTTGTGCCCGGATTATGATTGACGTGGCATTGTCTTACTATATAGGTCTTGCTGTGATACCACAATGTATCTTTACATTAGCGAGATTTTCCCCACAGAAATTCGTGGTATCGGTATGGGATTTTCCCTCTTTGGGCAATTCGCAGCCACTGTGATTTTGCTCCAAACGGCGCCTGTTGGCATTCAGAATGTTGGCTGGAAGTACTACCTAGTCATCATTTGCTGGTGCATTTTCTTTATCCCCATTGTTTATTTTTTCTGGCCTGAGACAGCCCGATTGACGCTCGAGGAGATTGCTTCTCAATTTGGGGATGACGTTGCGGTACAGATTCATGGTATCTCCGACGAGCAACGCCAACACTTGGATGAATTTCTCCAGGACAAGGACATCATCCACATGGAAAACACCGAGCACGCTTAAGCTCTTTAAATGTTTAATGAAAGATCTGGGCAGTACATATCCAGCGGAGTGCAGAATAGCAGAATACGCTCTCTAGTGGACGAGGAGACCTACTCGGTTTACATTTGTTCCACACCACTCATCGTATTGAGAATAGCCCAGATGACGAACAGACTATGCTCAACTACGGCGGGATGAGCGTGTAAACAAAGTAAACAATTCACCAGGTAGATATAGTAGATATTCAGTGCGGAATCTCCCCGGGTGAAAGGAGGGACCAAAGGCCGTAAGAGCTCTGTAGTTCTCGAAATATGAACCACAGGGGTGGGCATACTCCGAGGACGATGAATCTTGTAAGGAAATAGGGAAGCGGAGTATAGTGCGGCACGCCGTCCGCCTAACCGAATGCTGGTTTTACGACCATTCTGGCTCTCATATGACGAGCGCTCTTTCATCTTGCTGGGACCTAAATAATTCTGCCCACTGACATTCCCGTTCCATCTTCGACCCTAGGAATCAGGATGACCGGTCTTCACAATGACAATGGCTTGGAACTCAAAGAAAGCACGAGCAGATCTTCGAGCATCGAGAAAATTCTCGCGGCACACCGGAAGCCCTTCGACCAACTCCCTCCTTCCCGTGAAGTATGGAACGGACAGGCAGGCTCGTACGAGGAAGGTCTCGGACGACTGATTATCCTCACGCCAGAGATTGTGCAAGAGGCCGCAGCATCCTGCATTAAACTGGGGCGACGAGTCTCTCTAAGCTGGGATATGACGAAGCTTGAGATCGCCAACTTCAACCGCCAACCAGCTCAACACTATATCATGCCCCTGCTAGAAGGTGTTGCCTTCGACGACGTATACATCTTCAACCCTCAGCAATCGAGTCAATGGGATGGGCTTCGCCATTTTGGAGCAGCGGACCCCACGCCGGAAAACCCATCACGACGAATCTTCTATGGCGGGGTGGAGCCAAGTGAGATCTTGAACCGGTCAAGCACACGGATTGGCATACAACATTGGGCCCGGGAGGGTATCTGTGGCCGGGGAGTGCTTCTTGACTACGCACGCTACGCGGCCAAACATGGCATTGAGTACTCATCGTTCTCTGATCATGCCATCCCGCTCTCTGTGTTGATCAAGGTGGCACAGGAACAGAAGGTGACTTTCAAATTTGGAGATATATTGTTCATCCGAATCGGGCTGGTGAAAGAATGGGAGACAGAAATGACACCGTCCGAGAAAACCGCGTATGCAACAACCACGTCCCCTTGCCATGCCGGCGTTGAAGGGACAACGGAAACTCTGCGGTGGATTTGGGATACCGGCTTTGCCGCCGTGGCGAGTGATGCACTATCATTCGAGGCATATCCACCCAGAAATAGTTATCCCAGAGAAGAGGGCATCCCCGCTGCCGTGGGCGAGTTCATGCACCCGGTGCTATTGGCCAAATGGGGCATGCCTATTGGTGAGCTTTTTGACCTCGAGGGGCTGAGTGTCGTTTGTGAGGAGGCTGGTCGGTGGGAATTCTTTATCGCCAGTACTCCGCTTAACATGCCCGGTGGAGTCAGTAGCCCACCGAACTGTTTGGCAATCTTGTAATTGCACTTTTTGTTCTATTTTCACCATCACGTATCTGAATATATACATATTTCTTTTCATAAATTTAAGCCTCACTTTCTTGGAACAGTTGGAGTATCTTGATAAACTTCCGAGACAAGCCCCAGAACTGAACCTCCTCCAGAAGTGTTTGTGTGCGAGTGTAAATAGTGATCCCAAGTTCCTTGGAAGAGATATTGTCAACTCCAAGGACGTTCGCCGGTCCTCCATGTTGTATCCAAGCTTCAGCCACTTTGGCTGCCTCATCATCGGTATCAATTTGATCCAAACGAATAGATGGCTGGGACTCGGGAGAGACGGCGCGTTTTCCTGACCCCATGCTACCAGGGGAGTACTTGGTAACCGCCATGAGCAAAATAGCACCCATAAAGACGCGAAGTATCTCGCAAGGCGCGGATACTAGATATCCATTGGCGACGGCTGTAATCTGAGCGGCATGCCATATCAGCTTCCGGGTGCAGCGGGGGTCCCTCGCAAATTCGGTTTTCAATTTACGCTTTGCCGCGTTCACAACTTCGTAATGAGGAGATTGCGGGGTTGTTGGCAGGTGTCGGACAATATAGAGTACCAGCTCCATGACGTCGTCAACGCTGAAAATATTACAATAATGAAATATTAATAATCCAATGCTGTTTATTGGAGCGTATGGTTAGCAGTTTCTTCCTTGGTCTGGTGAACGTGATATCTTACTTGTAGTCGATGAGCTCCTGGACAGACCCTGCTTTCTTCATTTGACAGGAGAGGTTTCCGAGCCCTTGGAGAAGTAAAGCTTTTCCCTCGTCCTGTACTGACCCTAACGAAGATGGACGAAGGGCTTGAATGAGTGTCAATACCCCTAGTTGTTTGAGGTCCCAAAGGAGACGGCCAATGATCTGACTGCAGAGTCTTTTCCCCCATGACGACAACCCAGCAGGGAAGGGCCTCCCCGTCATGATAGCGTCTAGCACATCGGCAACAGAAGCTCCAAAGAACGGCGGTGATAAATGCGAGGCAAGGGATCGCCAGCCCTGCACAGAAGGCGCTTTCCATAGTTCTTCAATACACGGCAGTGATTTTGGCAGCTCAGCTAGATCGACTGCCCCACGACGTCCAGTAAGTGTGCAAAGGCTGCAATCATACTCGAAAGAAGCCCAGGTCACTCTCTTTTCCTGCTCTTGATCCCGCCAGTGTAGCCACTGGGTCATGGAATCTGCCGGATCGTCCTCCTGCACAGGCTGCAACCGTGGAATATTGTGGTCAATAGACACTCGCTGCTTGAGGAGACCCATCCCACGCAGGCTGCCAATGAGTATCCCTCGAGAGCGATCGGCATCTTGGTACAATTGTCGATTTCCCGACCCCAGTGAGTATATTTGGTAGAGGCAGCTGGCGGTGAGATAAGAAAGGTCGGAGAAATTATTGCTGTCTTGGCCACCCTAGTCATTTAGTAAGCAGACAAGACGAAATCGATAACTATGGGTCAATAAGGCGGAATATGGAAATAGCACTCACAAGCCACAGGATCATTCTTGAGGAAAGGTCACAAAGCGCTTTGGAGGCCTCTTCGGTGTCCTTGTCTTTGAGCAGCATGGCCCCAATGCAGGACATACTAGCGAGGAGTACTGGTGGGGTCTTTGACGATTTGAAAGTGGGAACATGTATGACAGGCAAAATATCATGAAATCCAGCAACGTACTGGTCGAGACAGTGCTGTAACAAATGGAGTCCCGGTAGTAAAGAGTAGTCTTGTGACCAGTTCTCAGGAATGCCGGACGTAGAAAGGAGCTCTATCAAGATCTCCAACGCACTCTGCGTTCCTTCATGAGATGTCCTAGAACTGCTTCGAATGACTTGGTGCAAGGGTGGGAGCTCGTATCTCGAAGGCAACTGCTCCCGAATCTGATCGCGGGCCTGATCAAAAGGCCATGGCTGTACATTGCGTCGTGGCATGTCGAAACCATTTGCAAATCCACTATTTGTCGGCATATTTCTGTCAAGCGCACGGACGGGAGCAGAGCCGGGCAACCCCGCGCGACTTCGCGTCGTTCCAGCTTCTATGCCCTGGTCGTTCCGTGTGGTCGCGGAATCCAGCATCATCTCTTGGGGTTGAAAGTCTAACCAGTCAAGTTCACCGTTTCCCAACCCAAGTCCAAGCCCAACACTGTTGAGCATCCCCTGTCCAAAGATCGAGTCTGGTATCCCGACCGCTCCGTAAGGCTGCTGCATTTGACACCCATTTAGACTAATATGCGAGTCACTAAAGATCGTTGACCCCGAGCTATCCGCAGTCAGATGGTTCGCCCGGGATGGATATTCATCGTTGCAGCGACTTGGGATCTGGACTTGATCCTGACCCAGTGAGCTTTCTGAAATATCCTCCAGGTGACTGAGGCTCACTAAACCTTCATCTGGATCAGCGTACTCCGATTCCCCTTGGGCCTCCACGTCCCCAGCATTAATCAATATATGGTCAACTTGAGCATCGCTTTGCATATTTTGCTCCTGGTACCCGCAAGTCGCATATGTACTGACGCAGGATCCACAGGGATACCGTCTATCACATCGAGATTTTCTCTTGACGCAATTCAGACATGATCGTTGACCCGTAGGCCTCTTCCGCGTAGGTGTCTGATGGATGCCACGGAGATGCCGTAGTAATACATCATTCCTTGTGAACACCTTACTGCAATATGGACATGCATGGTCTCGTTGGTCTTCGGGAAGATGGGAGGCCTTGTGACGGGCTAGATGGCTTGGTCTAGCGAAAAAATGGTTGCATTCGCTACAACCATATCGCTTAGGGGCTCCCTGCCATCAAATTCCTTGTGAGCCGTTCGACTTTCTCTCAGAGTGGGAATAATTTCGTACCTTGGGGATGCGTTTGCGAGTGGCATTCTTCGGAACCATCGAGGCTTTTCATCAGCTGACTAGTAAGTGAGGGAGAAACTCGAGATCAGAGGGAAGCAAGGTCTGAGCTCCCTTAAGGATTAAGATATTGTACGTCGCTTGCTTGGCCAAACGTCCATCCCTTGGAGCGCGATTGTTTGGAGAAGGGGTGTGGGTGGCGGTCCGGGGTAATTCAGAGTAAGGAAATTTGGCCTCGGGAACCCCGCAAATCAAGTGCAAATTACGTCAGTCAATACGTTTCCCCAAACGAAAATCTTCATCTGGCAAAGACGATGGGAGAGGCTTGATCTAGTGGGGAAGTTACCCATTCGCCTTTGGAATGCCCCTTCAAGGTCTTCTGGTAATTGAAAATCAGCCGCATAGAATACAATACTGTTTCTTCGACCCACACTTCTTTGGCTTCTCTCCTGGAAGAAATATACAAGTGATCCCGTCCAGATGGCAATGCATACAAGGGGTCCCTAAGAAGGAGGCGGTGCAACGAACTTTGCACTGTGAGCAGCGCGCGCAGGAACTTTGACCTTTTCCCGGTTCGGTAGCGTGGACTTTGCCATTCTGATAATATGCCGGAGCAAAAAGATGACGACGTGGACAGCGTATTCAGATGCATCAGCTTTTGGACTGACATGGCTGGGCAACCTTTATTACTGCTTGCTTGTAGTCTGGTGCGTTCTCAATAAGCTACCCTCAGCCTTTCGCAAGCATAGGGTTCGGCTAGCTTCGGAGGCTGCCATAAACCACCATTGCCTGGCTTAATTGTTACGATATCACAATGAGTTTGGTTGATACCATTGCGAATACAGTGTCACACGAAGTCGAAAGCCTATGGACGATTACGAAGCAAAAATGCGGGGGTCCCGAGTCCGCGTGAGATCTTCATGTGGCACGCTCCGATGGCGCTCCGGGGATTTTGGATAGAGTGTGGTACACGGGATTTGGCGCGAGACTTACCCAGGAGTGCTGATATCCGGGAGCATTAACATATTATAGTGGTGCAATATCTATTAAATCTGAACTATACCATTTAAACGTTACATTCCAATGATCTTTTGCCCATCCTCGGCAGCTCTTTCACACTTTGCTCGATCTTTTTTTCCTGCCCAGAATGACCGGTAAACTAGCTGGAAAGGTCGCCATTATCACCGGCGCGGCATCCGGCTTTGGCAAGGGAATTGCCACCAAGTTTGTTCAAGAAGGAGCAAAAGTCCTGATAGCAGATCTCTCCGAGCAAGCCGGACTTGAAGCGGCTCATCAACTTGGTTGCAGCTTTGCTACAGCGGACGTCACCAGTCGAGACGATTGGAAGACACTCTTATCCAAAACTATCGAGGAGTTCGGTGCCTTGGACATCGTTGTCAATAATGCAGGTGTCACCTATCCCAACAAAGAAACAGAGGCTGTCACGGACAAGGAGTACGATCTGGTCATGAACGTCAATGTCAGGTCGATTTACATTTCTACAAGCGTCCTGTTGTCCTACTTCTTGGAAAATCAACGGCCTGGGTGTTTTATTCAAGTCAGCTCCACAGCGGCAACTCGTCCGCGGCCAAGGCTCACTTGGTATAACGCCTCCAAGGCCGCAGTCAACAATGCCACTAAGACTATGGCTGTGGAGTATGGACCGCACCAGATACGCTTCAACACTGTCTCGCCCGTTGTTGGGAGCACCGGAATGCAAGTTATATTCATCCTGACTGGCTGCGTATTAGAAAGGCGGATGGTGTTAACTGGTTTGTAGGACACATTTATTCCTTGGAAAGCCAGATACTTCGGAAAACAGAGCCGACTTTGTTGCTACCATCCCGCTCGGGCGCGGGTCGACCCCGGCAGACGTTGGCAATGCCTGTTCTTATCTCGCCAGCGACGAAGCATCATTCATCACTGGTGTCAATCTCGAGGTCCGTTTGTTCTGATATTGTGTCGTTTTCGACGCGCTGACTCATTTAATCCAAGGTTGATGGTGGACGTTGTGTATAGACATATTCTCTCACCATTCCATTCTTTATATGGCTGGGTTCTGCTACTGTGTAGATGCTCCTCCATATACTGCGTATTGCAGGCGTTCTATGGGAACTCAGTAAATGGACCCCCACCTGTCGTGGAATGTCTCAAATTTGTATGATGAGGTAGATGTCGACATATTGGAGCGTACAATATCCGAGAAGCTATGTCTAATGATACCAACACCGTGGCGACGAGGCTGACCTCGTAGCATACACATAAGTCTCGGAGCCATACCTATATAGATGAGTTATAGGGTAGTTAGGAAGAGAACTAGTAAAGTCAATCTCTTAGGCTACGAGTGGCCCTATACGTGTTTCTATAAGATAAGTAGGGGGTTTTGGAAGTTCCTAACTATAGAAGCAACTATTAAGTACTTAATAAGAGCCGACTAGAGAAGTAACGGACCAATAGGGATGTAAACCGTGAAAGCCTGCATGCAAATCACCAACCAACTTACTGTAGCTGAAGCCGTTTGTATGAGCGTGTCGGGGGGTCGCTATAGTAATCATCCAGGATAAGGATGGGTTAATAACGGGCACTCTCTCAACCTATATTAAGACCCATCCAACGGTCTACTCAACCTCAAACCAATACCGGGGGGCTGTCGATGGAGTTCTCAATTGCGTGGAATGGCGTGACCAATCACACATGCGGGCTCCCGGAAATAATCCCCCGGGAGGCCACGAGGCAAAACAGGGATATTCTATACCCTTTTTAGGGTGTGTGTCAGCATTTATAAACGTCGGGGAAAATGGTCTAGATTGCTCAGTCCAATCTCCGCAGAAGGCGTTTACAAAGGATTGAGGATTGATAGGGGCCATTCCGCGGCCAACGCATGTAAGGCCGGCAGCGCAGTATTTGTTTAGAGAGGGGTAACTAGACCCAGAACATTGCTCCGGGGCATCCTGTCGATCTGAATATAATCCCGAGGACGTTTATCTACTAGCTTCTTCAACTGTGGCAAGAGCGGTTACAGTATAATTGCAAAGGCGGCAGACAGGTATATTTGAAGGCGCCGATCAGCGGCCTCGAAGGATCAACGGCGTCAGAGAGGGCACAACCACCGGCCCCAAAGGATTCGCCTTGCATTAATTGTGGACCGTTCTCAAAAATGGCCCGACAGTTTTCGCGGGCCGCCACGGGTCGTTGCTGCCATTCAAGGCAGTCATTGAACCATGCGTTCAGTGGCGGTTTCGGTCTATCACCGACATGGGCAAGCCGCGAACGGGCCATTCCTGAAGCTATTGCTTATGCAGGACAACAGGATTGACAATCAGTCCCATGACAATGCAGCTTGTCAAGGCTCAACCACAAACTGAATCAATAGTGAGTTTGAAAGGATCGAAGCCAAGTTTTGTCAGGATTGACTACTGCGAGAACCACATACGTAGAGGAATCAACGGCGCAGGAACGTTCTCAGGGGGATTCACCTTAGTTCGTTGAAGATGTTTTCATATCTGGCTCTTTCCACATTATCTCTCTGACACCTCCATCCATCCCACAAACTCTCGTTAAAACATCATCATGTCCGCTACAGAGCCTATGGCGCCGCCGCCACCAGGCGTGACACCCACATTCCACAACGAGTATCCATGGCTGTACAATGCCAACGTCTCTATCATTATCTTCGGGTTGACAATCAGCTGTATATGTCTTGGGCTGCGTGCGTGGACACGAGTCTATTTGCTACGCAAATTTGGCTTGGACGACGGTGAGGAAGTCTTTCTGGCCCGACAGAATCTTGCTGACACTCCTTTCCCAAACAGCGTCAATTATTCTGGCATGGGTATGTACTGAGAAATATTCTAATTATGGCAGCCTTGCTCACATCGAACAATAGTTATTCTCCATCGGAACACAGATGACATCCTTATGTGCGTGGTTGATAAAGTTTGTGGCGTTGCTTTTGCACGAGCTGACCAAACCCTTGTCAATAGTGTCATTCACATATGGCGGAGTCGGCAGTCATATGTGGAACGTAACGAGAAAAACATACGGGTCATATGAAAAGGTGCATATAGAGAGTTTTCTGTTTGCCCGGACCACTAGACGAATATTGACACTATATATCTAGTATCTCCTGTCCACCTCGATTCTTTACGTGCCCGCTCTCGCATTAGCGAAAATCAGTCTTATAATCCTCTACCACCGGATTATGAAAAAGCAAAGGATCTACGTACTGGCACTGCACGCTATCACGGCCGTGGTGTTGGGATACAGTATTGCAATTATCTTCGCCTTGATCCTCGCATGCCACCCTGTCAGCAAGAACTGGGATTCCAATATCGATGGAGTATGCGTTAACCGCACGGCTCTATACATCGCCACTGCTGTGACCAACATTGTCACTGATCTAGCGTTGATCACACTCCCCATCCCGCTGGTGCTTCGTCTCAACATGCCCCGCTCACAGAAGATTTACCTTTTCCTTATGTTCGTCATTGGTTGCGCGTACGTGGTTTCTATGTTCCCGTTCTCAGAAAAAAAAATTATTCGCTAACAATTGTTTAGAACTGTCATCACGAGTATCCTGCGCATGGTCACCCTGGTGGACTTCCTCCACGCCAAAGACGTGACTTATAAGCTGGCCTGGCCGGAATTGTGGATGTAAGAGTGTCCCCTCCCTATGCTTCGTCCGCCCAACAGCAAAATCTAATTCCCATTCCCTATCAGCAATGTCGAAGCCAACCTCATCATCATCTGCCCCTGTCTGCCCATCCTACGCCCATTCATGCGCCACTACATCCCCGGCTGGGGTGATGATGAGACTGCCACCGGCAATCCTTACCTGGATAACACCTACACGGACTCCCAGAACAAGTGGAAGACTGCCTATGGCCAGAATGATGAAATTGCACTAGCGGACAACGTGGACAGCGTTCGCAGTGAGTCGCGGATGGTAAAGTCGAGCCGATAGTATGAGCCAAATGCGAGCTAGTGAGGAAGTCTAGCTACGACCTACCTTTAACCCGGCCCAGCCCACCCCCGCTTACGGGTCGGGGAATGTTTGAAAATTGTACCTACGGAAGTATATTCAAATTAAGCTTTTAATGTGTTAACCATATAAACGAACCAACTTTCTAAGCAAATATCTTTTTAGATCTAGAAGATGTAATAGATTTTATATTCTAGACCGAGCTACTGTCGCCAGGAGGTTGACTATTTGCTACGTTTATATCATGGAAAGAAGATATGCAAACACAATAGCTTTTATCAGGCAGGCTATGCTTCATTCCAAGTACACGATTCAACATGCAAGTTGTAGCAGGGTCATCGCGACACCGCGCCATCTCTCTCTCTCTCACACACACACACATACTTGACACACCCGAAATTAACCGGACAAGGAAAAAAAGGTAGAAACAGGGGTATAATAATCGTTAAACACAGATCCAAAACAAGAGGCTGGCAGGCTATACAGGAGAGTGGAAGATGTGACAACGAGTCAATCATGCGCCCACAGCTTGTTCTCTCAGGTTCTCCTGGGACGGCGGGTCAACGGGTCGTTCACTCAGAGAAGTCGACGATGCCGACGGCGAGCGATCGTCCCCTGGAGCTGCGAGATGGCCGTTGTACATGGAAGCTCGCTTTGATGATGACAGTGGTTGATCTGGAGCGGTGTCCGGGGCAGAAATACTGATCACGGAGGCTCGTCGATCCGGGTCTTCTTCAATGACTTCTTCGGGGGCATCCTTGGAATCTGCCAGCTCGTCGGAACGCATACTCAGCCCAGTCGTGGTGCTTGCACTGCGCACGGAGTGGCGACGGCCACTTGCGTGCTGGTCCGAAGTGATGGATTCGCCGCCACTGCCCATCACGGCAGGGTCTGAAGCTCGCGGTTCATCGGAAGGAGTGGGTTTGCGGAGTTTGAGGCGATCCTCGGCAGGCATATTCTGCCACTCAGACCCAAAGGTGACGACGGAGGCTTTCTTGCCGTGGACAGTAAAGCTGGGCGTCTTGCGTGACAGACCTTCGCCGTTGTGGGGGATCTGATCGTCATCAACAGGCCCGATGCTAGACACCGATCCACGGTTTTTCTTATGGCGAGAAGTCTGTGAATGATGCGAGTCGCGTAGCGTGCGGTGAAGACTGCGACGCGCGCGGCTTGGTTTACTATCACTCTGCGAGACCTCTGATAACTCCTCAGGTTTGTTGTCGGTGCCAGTGTCGCTTTCCGCGACGGCCTGCTTGCGAGTAGGAGGTGAATTGCTCAAGGCCAGTAAGCCTGCTTCCCTCAGAAGACGCTCTTCGTCATCATCAAAGCTGGCGGGGGCTGTCAATTTGGAGGCACGAGATCCAAGACTGGCACCGTCGAATTTGCTACCACGGCTGAGAATCGATGCTTCGCGCTGAAGCTGGCTCGCTGCCGTGTCGACGGAATATGACTTGGAGCGGTCGGGCGGCGCCCCGCTAGAGAGACGTCGTCCTGGGCGAGCAAAATCGGCCGAAACGGTAGAGGTGGGCAGGCTGGGGCGGCGTATTTGATCGATAGAGATCTGCGCATGAAGTTCAACGGGTCGATCAGCAGTTTCCACAGCAGGCTGCTCGGCGGTGTCGTGACTGGAAACGGTGTGCACAATGCTAGGAGCTTGTTGATCTGCAGAAGGCCCTGAGGTGACCGAACGGCCGGATACCGAAGCCAAGTGGATAGGGATATGAGTCGATGTCTGATCCGTTTCCGACTCAGCAGTACCTTCCACCACGTTCTCATCCTCTCCCAGATCCCGCAGGAGAACCGCCCGGTAGCATTTATTGCGCCAGATATCCTGCCGGACCCACTTCACTTTCGCCGCCATACGTCCAGCTGCCATGATGACGCTTTCCCTGGCACGGGCATGAACGGGCGTGAGAACCTGGAGATGTCGGGCATTCCGCAAAAGATCATCTAATTGCTTCTGTGAAATGAACAGCTTTTCGTTCGCCTCACGAATCTTCTGCGCCATCAAGTGCCGGCGCGCGGTGATGAATTCAGCCACCACATCAGTGTCAATACTCGGAGACGCGGGTTCATTGTCGGCTGACTGATGCGACTTTTGCGATGAAATCGACTCGGATCGCTGAGTCTTGCGATAGCGCTGACCTTCGTAGTTGGTATCAATCATGCCTTTCGTACGCACACCAGTGGTTCGAAACGCCGCTGCATAGTTCAGTTTCGCCATCCAATCGTTCATCTCAGATTCCGAGGTGGTCAGGAAAACCTCCTCCAGTGCATTGTGCCGAAAGAAACTGAAGGCGTATTTGTGCTTCTTGTAGGCCGAGTCGAAAAGAGCAACGGCATCATTGGTCGACATGATGGCATCCGGCTTGAATTCGGACAGGGGAGGTTTGAAGACAAGAGTTCCTTGGCGTCCGTTTTTCACGTAGCCTTCATGTTGTGCCATGAGGTTTCGTACCCAATTCACATTGCGGAAGAAGTAGAGCTGAGAGAATGTCAGCACCGCACCCCACTCGGCCCACGGAGAGCGCGCTCTCTTCTTTTTCGGATCCTTGCGCCAAATCAGGCCGACCTTGGCCACCTTGATGTCCACCAGACCTGGATTGGCCTCGGCCGGGTTATTCAGGCTGGAATGCATGAATGCGTCGGGTCGCGAGCGAAGAGATATGATTTGTAGGATACCAGATTTGGTAAATGCTTCGTGAAGTTCTTCCATATCAGGCGCCCCTGCGGTGCCAAAATGGTCGTACGTATCTTCCAAGCTCATGACATCTTTCAGGCTTGGCCGTAGGGTCTCGAGTTTTCCATCCAGGATGAGGGCATAGGGGTCAACGGGCTCCCGCGATGAAATCTTCGACAAGTGCTCTGAGCTTGTACTCTTCAATAGGTTTCGACGCGGCTTCAACTGCTGGCGATCACGCAGGTTGTCATCCTCGACGTGGATGAAAGGCGTGTATAAAATATTCTCATAGAAACACTCCAGGATTTCCTCGGCGATTCCTTCTCCACGGGTGTTTTTCACATAATCGGGCTTTTGCATCTTTCGCTTATTGTTCTTGTTGAAAACATCGGTATGGAGGATCAAAATTGAGAAGGCAATGAAGTATGCTTGATCTAAGAGAGACTTGTCAGTTTGGGAAACAACTTTAAAAGCACACAAAGGGCCGTACCAGGGGACGCAAAAATGCCTGGGTTACACTCGTGGTATCGGTCCGCAAACGCTTGGAGGAAGCGATCAATCTGCTGAGTTTCTTTCGGCAAGTCAACCTCCATCAAGAGTTTGCGAATGGACATGTCAATGGGATCCCCGAAGTAGGCAAATCCTCGCATATACTTCCGTAAGGCAACCTTGAAGAAGTCTTCGTCTGATTGGGCGAGAATACCCCCAATCATACCACGAGGAAGGTTTTCCTCTAACCTAGTCAGGTAAGTAGCAGGAGTATCCCCTTCTTCCCGTTCGGGACACGGGGGAAGCTCGCGGGCAAGGGACAAGGAGGCAGGTTTAGATGCTGGTGTGGCCGAACCTCCCAAGGCGGGAGAGCCATTGCGAGGTATCGGGGGTTCTGAGTTTTGCCTCATTCGCTGAGAGAAGTTGAACATATCTCCGAAGCTCTTACGTCCGCTAGTCGAGGTCGAGGTGCGTCCCGAAGACGCCAAGTATGGGGCCTGAGACGCATCGTCCTGGTTCTCGGCCAGCGATCCCATGGTGGACGATCTCCCACGGCCGTTCTTTAGATTACGACCAGTTGCGGATGGATTAGATCGCACAGAGCGGGCGGAAGCGGTCGAGTCCTGCCGTAATAGTGCCGGCGGACCCGATGATGTCAGTCCTACCGATGAACGAGATGGTGAAGGTAGAGGAGAGACTCGGTCCTGGTCGTCCGAATGGCCAGATGTCGGGGTCTCAGCTGGAGGGATTTGGGGGACATCGTTTCTCAGCTTCGTCGGGGGCGGCAATTTGGGAGGCAGGGGGAAGAGAGGACTGCGATTGCGTTTCAAGCGTGGAAGCCGAAATCGTTTGCCGCCAGATGCCGCTGCCAAACTATCCAGGGGCGAATTTGTCCGAGATGCGGCGTGATCGGCATAGCTGTGATCTGACCGTGACGATTCGGAGAATCGAGGGTCAGTGACTGACGACCGGTGAGAGTCCGGGAAGGCTTCTCGGCCTCCACTTCGCAGTGATGTTGTTGAGAGCCGCCCGGGCTCCTCGGAGACGACCTGAGAGGTGGACAGGTTGGAATCGGTAATTTGCGAATCGGTCGACCCTTGGTCTTTGTGGTGGGGTGCCGCGCTCGATTGTTCCGGATGGGTTCGGGACAATTCCTCCATCGACCGTTTCCTTAGGTTGGGTAGAAGCTTGGATTTATGGCGTTGTTTGATAGGTTGGTCAAGCTCATTGCTGGTTGGCGCGGTGGTGATGATCTTCGGCGGAGGGAGCGACGGGACCGGAGGTGTGTCCTCCTCGGCCTTCGCGTAGGACTTGGAGAGTTGGGGATCGGATGCATGGCGAAGTTTCATGAAGCTGAAGCGATTCCTTCGCAAGCTGGGCGTGTTCCCGACCGATGGGCCCGCAAAGTCGGTCTCGGCCACGTCGCTCAACGGGCCATTCTCTGGTATTGACAGGTCGGCATTTCCGTCCGGCTGGTCATGGGTGTTCAGGCGAGGAATTGATTCAGAGAATCGGGGCTCGACAGTCGGGGGCCCGGGACGAGGCAGCTGCTCACTGTGACGGCTAGGGGCGTGGGCGTGGACGTCGAGGACGCTGTGTCTCTTGGAGCCATCGGACGTGCCGAGTCGTAGACCTTTCCAATGCATGTTGGACGGAAAGAGTCCCAAGAGCAAGCACAGACAAACCCATGTGCAGCTGAGAAAGGGAACGAGGGATAGATGGGCGGGACAGAGATCGATTTAGTTGGACATGGCTAGATCGCGGTCAGCCCGGGAGGGAGATGTGGAGGTCGTCGTCAGCGAAAAGGGGAGCG